ACGGACCTGTACTGCTTAAAAAACAAAATTATAGCTGAAAAAATTCCAGGAAATTGAATGATTCGATATCAATTCGAAGCAGAAACTAATACAGGGGTTGTATGCGCAGCTTGAACGCTTTCGCAAAGTGTCTAGACTGCACTATATTTAAACAAAAACAGAGAATTTATTCCTGATTATTGAACCCGTAGATAAATAATCCAAGCAGGGACTAATCCATGAAATGTATGCGCAGCTTGAATGCCATGGCAAAAAAAGCCACGGAGCTGTACTGCTTTAAAAACAATTAGTGAAACTATTCCTGCAAATTGAATGCTTTGATATTAAATCAAAGCAGAAGCTTATCCGGCTATTTCATGCGCAGCTTGAACGCCATGGCATAAAGTGTCATTAAGCTGTACTGCTTTAAGCAAAAAAAAATTCCGGGAACGCGAACGCTTAGAAGCTAATTCGAATCAGAGACTAATCCAAGGATTGTATATGGAGCTTTAACGCCAAGGCGAAAACGGCACGGAGCTGTACTACTTTATAAACAAAACAAGTGGAATTATTCCATTAAATTGATTGCTTCGACTTTTACTCAAAGCAGAAACTATTCCAGGGGCTGTATGCGCAATTTGAACGCCATGGCACAAAGTGTCATGAAACTGTACTGCTTTTAGGAAAAAAGAACGTTTTTTACCGGGTAACTGAATGCTTAAATGGAAACTCGAAGTAGAAACTAATCCAGGGGCTGTATTCGCAGCTTGAAAGCCATGGCAAAAAAGTAACGGAGCTGAACTTCCGTATAAACAAAATTAGTGAAATTATTCCAGAAAATTGAAAGCTTCAAATTTATTTTAAAGCAAAACTATTCCATGGGCTGTATGCGCAATGTGAACTTCATGGCACAAAGTAACATGGTGCTGTACTGCTCTTAGAAAAAAAACCTTTATTCCGGGAAATTGAACGCTTAGACCCAAATTTGAAGCTTAGACCCAAAACCTTTATTTCAATTTCCTGGAAAAAACCTTTATTCCGGGTAATTGAACGCTTAGACCCAAATTTTAAGCAGAAATTAATCCAGAGCTTCTATGCGCAGCTTGAACGCCATGGCAAAAACTCCATGGAGCCGTACTGCCCTAAAACCAAAATAATCGACAATATTCCAGGAAATTGAATGCTTAGACCCAAATTTGAAGCAGAAATTAATCCAGAGGTTGTATGCGCAGCTTGAACGCCATGGCAAAATTTCCAAGGAGCCGTACTGCCCTATAAACAAAAGCGAAAATATTCCAGGAAAATGAATGCTTCGATTTTATTTCAAAGCAGAATTAAATCCAGGGGCTGAAGCGCGATTTGAACATCATGGCACAAAGTGTCAGGAAGCAGCGCTGTTTTCCGCAAAAATAACATTTATTCCGGGAAAATGAATGCTTAGACCCAAAATCGAAGCAGAAACTAATCCAGGGATTGTATGTGCAGCTTGAACGCCATGATAAAAAATGCCACGGACCTGTACTGCTTAAAAAACAAAAATATAGATGAAATTATTTCAGTAAATTGAATGATTCGATATTAATTCGAAGCAGAAACTAATACAGGGGTTGTAAGCGCAGCTAAATGCTTTGGCAAAGTGTCGAGACTGCACTATATTTAAGCAAAAACAGAGAATTTATCTAGGTATTGTATACGCAGTTTGAACGCCATCTCACAATATGCCACTGAGCTGTACAGCTTTATAAACAAAATTAATGAAATTATTACAGGATAATGAATGCTTCGATTTTAACCCGAAGCAGAAAGTAATCCAGGGATTGAATGCGCAGCTTGAACGCCATGGCACAACATGTCACGGAGCTGTTCTGCTTGATATTCAAAATGAGTGAAATTATTCCCGGACTTTGAATGCTTCGACCTTATATCGCAGCAGAAACTAATCCAGGGATTGTATGCGCAGTTTGAACGCCATGGCAGATGTCATGGAGCTGCACTGCTTTATAAACAAAATTAGTGAAATTATTCCAGGACTTTGAATGCTTCAACCTTAAATCACAACAGAAACTAATCCAGGGACTGTATAGGCAGTTTGAACGCCATCTCACAATATGCCACGGAGCTGTACAGCTTTATAAACAAAATTAATGAAATTAATCCAGGATAATGAATGCTTCGATTTTAACCCGAAGCAGAAAGTAATTCAGGGATTGAATGCGCAGCTTGAACGCCATGGCACAACATGTCAAGGAGCTGTTCTGCTTTATATTCATAATAAGTGAAATTATTCCCGGACTTTGAATGCTTCGACCTTAAATAGCAGCAGAAACTAATCCAGAGTTTGTATACGCAGCTTGAACGCCATGGCACAGCATGTCACGGAGCTGTACTGCTTTATAAACAAAACAAATGAAATTATTCCAGGATATTGAATGCTTCGATTTTAATTCGAAGCAGAAAGTAATCCAGGGATTGTATGCGCAGCTTGAACGCCACAGCAGATGCCATGGAGATGTACTGCTTTATAAACAAAATTAGTGAAATTATTCCAAGACTCTGAATGATTCGATCTTAAATCGCAGCAGAAACTAATCCAAGGATTGTATACGCAGTTTGAACGCCATGGCAGATGTCATGGAGCTGCACTGCTTTATAAACAAAATTAGTGAAATTATTCCAGGACTTTGAATGCTTCAACCTTAAATCACAACAGAAACTAATCCAGGGACTGTATAGGCAGTTTGAACGCCATCTCACAATATGCCACGGAGCTGTACAGCTTTATAAACAAAATTAATGAAATTAATCCAGGATAATGAATGCTTCGATTTTAACCCGAAGCAGAAAGTAATGCAGGGATCGAATGCGCAGCTTGAACGCCATGGCACAACATGTCAAGGAGCTGTTCTGCTTTATATTCATAATATGTGAAATTATTCCCGGACTTTGAATGCTTCGACCTTCAATAGCAGCAGAAACTAATCCAGGGATTGTATACGCAGCTTGAACGCCATGGCACAGCATGTCACGGAGCTGTACTGCTTTATAAACAAAACAAGTGAAATTATTCCAGGATATTGAATGCTTCGATTTTAATTCGAAGCAGAAAGTAATCCAGGGATTGTATGCGCAGCTTGAACGCCACAGCAGATGCCATGGAGATGTACTGCTTTATAAACAAAATTAGTGAAATTATTCCAAGACTTTGAATGCTTCGATCTTAAATCGCAGCAGAAACTAATCCAGGGATTGTATACGCAGCTTGAACGCCATGGCACAACATGTCACGAAGCTGTACTGCTTTATAAACAAAACAAGTGAAATTATTCCAGGATATTGAATGCTTCGATTTTAATTCGAAGCAGAAAGTAATCCAGGGATTGTATGCGCAGCTTGAACGCCACAGCAGATGCCATGGAGCTGTTCTGCTTTATATTCATAATATGTGAAATTATTCCCGGACTTTGAATGCTTCGACCTTCAATAGCAGCAGAAACTAATCCAGGGATTGTATACGCAGCTTGAACGCCATGGCACAGCATGTCACGGAGCTGTACTGCTTTATAAACAAAACAAGTGAAATTATTCCAGGATATTGAATGCTTCGATTTTAATTCGAAGCAGAAAGTAATCCAGGGATTGTATGCGCAGCTTGAACGCCACAGCAGATGCCATGGAGATGTACTGCTTTATAAACAAAATTAGTGAAATTATTCCAAGACTTTGAATGCTTCGATCTTAAATCGCAGCAGAAACTAATCCAGGGATTGTATACGCAGCTTGAACGCCATGGCACAACATGTCACGAAGCTGTACTGCTTTATAAACAAAACAAGTGAAATTATTCCAGGATAATGAATGCTTCGATTTTAATCCGAAGCAGAAAGTAACCCAGGGATTGAATGCGCAGCTTGAACGCCATGATAAAAAGAGTCAAGGAGCTGTACAATCTTTAAGCAAAAACAGAATTTAATCAGAATAATTGAACGCTTAGAAGCAGTTTCGAAACACGAACTAATCCACTGATTGTATGCTTAGTTTACACACCATGGCACGAAGTGTCATGAAGCTGTTCAGAGTTATCAAAAAATTACTAAGAACTATTCCAGGAAACTGAACGCTTCGATCTCAAATCGAAGCAGAAATTATTCCAGGGATTGTATAGGCAGCTTGAACGCCACGGCAGCTGTCATGGAGCTGTACTGCTTTATAAAAAAAATAAGTGAAATTATTCCAAGACTTTGAATGCTTCGACCTTAAATCGCAGCAGAAACTAATCCAGGGATTGTATACGCAGCTTGAACGCCATGGCACAGCATGTCACGGAGCTGTACTGCTTTATAAACAAAATTAGTGAAATTATTCCAGGATATTGAATGCTTCGATTTTAATTCGAAGCAGAAAATAATCCACGGATTGTATACGCAGCTTGAACGCCATGGCACAGCATGTCACGGAGCTGTACTGCTTTATAAACAAAATTAGTGAAATTATTCCAGGATATTGAATGCTTCGATTTTAATTCGAAGCAGAAAATAATCCACGGATTGTATGCTCAGCTCGAACGCCATGTAATAAAACGCCACAGATCTGTACTGCTTTATAAACAAAATAAGTGGAACTATTCCAAGGAAAAGAATGCTTGGATCTTAAGTCGAAGCAGAAACTAATCCAGGGATTGTATCCGCAGCTTGAACGCTGTGGCACAACATGTCATGGAGCTGTTCTGCTTTATAAACAAAACAAGTGAAATTATTCCAGGATATTGAATGCTTCGATTTTAATTCGAAGCAGAAAGTAATCCAGGGATTGTATGCTCAGCTTGAACGCCATGGCACAAAGTGCCAGGGAGCTGTGATGCTGTAAACTAAAACTTCAAGATCTTGCTCTAAACTATCACTTCGACTCTCAGCTGAAGCCGAAAGTAAAAGAATTGTATGCACAACCTGATTGCCGCAGTACATCTAGCTGAACCGAAATATTTTAGGGGAATTTTTCCCTGAACTTAAAACGCAATATCAGACCTGAATAGTTTGTAGAAGCTTAGCGAAACAATCTGGCGCTGGAATTTCTCCGAGTAAATCGAAATCATTTGGTCCTGTTGAAGTAAGAGCTATCAGCTGTTCGCTAGTTAGTTTTCCATTGCTCTGTCGAAGAGCATCGAGCATAGATAAATAAATATCTTTGCTTTGTCTGCAATTGGCGAGCAATGAATTTCGAACTAAAAAGAATCGAATCCAATTTTAAAAAAGAAGCGATGCAATTGAAGTCACTTTTGCCTTATAAACTATACCTGAGGATGTAATCGGCAAAAATTGTAAGATGGAAGCAACGATAACTCCAACCAAGTACAAATCATCTCCCATTTTGAGAACAGTTTTGGAACGAGAGTGCTCGTCTGGAGCTTGATGAAGCTGCTTCCAAGACACAATCACGTTTTGGATGATATTTACAAGCTCATCTAAACAGTCGATGTTAACATTTGATTATTACTGCAATTGCTTGATCAATCGACGCAGCTCAAAGCCATGCTTACCAGTTCTTTCAATTTGCATAGTCAAACAAGGATTTTCCACATCCAGAGCTGTAGACAGTGACTCACTCATGTATCCAAAAATACTCTCTAAACAATATTTAGAGTTATCTCGTTTTTAAAATAACTTATCTGGTTTTCAAAATTCTGGTTGCAGAAACTGTTCGAGTGACAGGAAACTTTTCTGGTTTTCAAAATACTGTTTGCAGAAACTATTCGAGCGATAGGTTAGTGAACATTGAACGCCCCAATTTTACACTTGTTTGATTAAGACAAAATTATCAAATATATTCGATACCATTTTTCGAAAAAAAAACTTTTAGGGAAATATATTTAGCTCATTCATCTATTTTACCCAAATATTCTAACAGTTGGAGCCACTCGACTATTTTTCTAAATAATAAACTATATGCATATGATTTTTTTATGCACATTGGAACCTGATACAAGATTTACTACAATAGATTCTGCTCGCCTATAAACTTCTGGGACGTCTCTATCTGAGCCGTTAGCACATTAATCTTCACAGTCGCATCATCCAGCTGTTTCATCTTCTGGCCCAAAAGTGAGTTCTGCTCCTGAGATCTCTCCTCCATCTCTGCAATCTGCTTGTTCAGCTGTCCCACATCCACTCTTGCCCTCTCCACTTCCTCCTGCTGCGTTTGCTGTCTCAGCTGACTGTCTGTTAAAGTGAGCTGGTTGCTCTCCGAAGCCATATTCAACTGCTTCTGCAGTTCTCCTTTCTAAAAAACGAAAGTGCAAAAGTGTTTCCAAACAGTGCAATGCTGATACATTTCATCTCAATTCATCGATTCATCTCTACTGACCGCCCTGAGCACTTTGAGGTGGTCCTCTCTTAGCTTTGTGTATATCTCAGTGATCTTGTTGAACTTGTCCGAGCTGGCCTTCAGTTTGTCCGCATACATCTGACTCTGCTGCTGCATCTCCTCACTCAACTGCTCCACTCGAGAGTCAGCATCCATCGCAACCCTCTTCAGCTGCTGGTTCTCCTGCCAAAAAAAAACATTGTATGGGAAACATTGCAATCGCAAACTGGTACATACTTTGGCCCTTTTACGAGATAGCCCAGTATACCCCTGGAAACGAATGCTCCAAAAACGGGGGACGAAAAACGGAGCACAAAGGTCGTTGATTTGAATACCGCTTCGATCACGGTTGAAGGGTCCCAGAGTCATCCGCCTCCTCACCGTGGGACCGGCTGCGACAAAATGGATGACATATCTCTCACTAACAGAAGACACAGAACGCTCGGCAGGGGGCTAATAAAATATCTTTCAGTAGAAGGGTGCTGGACAGTATGCAATTTCGGCAAGCAAAACCGAATTTTAAGACCTATACATCCACGTTAAATTTTGACCCTAAACTTACGTGAATTGATTAAAAATAAAACTGGATATCTTCTCATTTGATCACTTTAATGAGAACGTGACATGATATTACGCAGACTCACTTAAGCACGACGCTTAGCAATTAAAGACCTCTGGTGCTTCGAACTTTTGACAAGTATAAAAACCTCTTATAGTGAAAAAAAAGGTCTGCATCTTTGGAGTGTACTCTGACAGCACCCAATTATTGGATAGGTAACTTCAAACTTTGTTAAGTTTCATTCAAATTTTTTAAATTCAAACTTTGGAAATCCATAAAATTTTGTGAAGTTTTTTATATTTAAGTTCAATGAAAAATTTTAAAATGACATGGCAAACAACACATCTAGGACACTAAAACCATTGAGCAGCCGCATTTGGACTCAAAATTTGCAACTCCTGAGAGTAATCTCAAAGTACCCAACTACAGGCTTGGGAATTTCAAATTTTGAGAAACTTCAAGTTAGATCTTTCTTAAAAAATTTTTGAACTGACCATAAAAAAACGTCATTTCTTGCAAACTACAAGAATTTTAGCAGCCAGATTTGAGGGCAAGATTCGCAACCCCTGAAAGTACCCTGGCAGAGCCTTGATATAGAGATGGGAACTTCAATTTTTTGAAGTTTTTTAAATATCAACTTTTAGATTTAAACGTCGAATTTAGACGAAAGATTTATAACTCGAAATGATTGAGTGTATCCACTCAGACAAAACTACAAGGTTGGGAATTACAAATCCAAGTTTTCTGAAAAATTAAAAAGAAATCATAAAATACGTCATATCTTAAAAACGACATAAATTTGAGCTGTCAAATTTAGAGGCTAGATTCGCAGTCCTTGAGAAAACTTTGACAGCACCCAAATTACAATGTTGGGATTTTGAAAACTTCGAAATTTCAAGTTTTGAAAACTTTTGAAAGAGTCACAAAAATCGTCGAATCTCATTAACTAAAATGATATGGGTATTCATAGTTGGAGGCCAAACTGGCAACTCCTGGGAAAACCTGAAAACATCCCAGAGTCGCTAAATTCAAACATGGTGAAAAAAACACTGAAAAATTGAACCATTGCAATATACGATATAGCTTACATGTAAAAAACGCTTTCGATAAACATGCAAGAAATGCTTTCGAAAAACTAAAACATGGCGAGATAGTGAAGACCGCATTTCAAAACATAAAAGATAACTGATAAATAGTTATTAAATAGATAGATTAGATTGACCCAACTTTGTATTTTTCGCGCGTATTCCTACAACAATTTAGAAGAGTAACTTCACTTTTGAAAAATTGTAAGTTATTCGGGATGTCGTAAAATAAAACAAGCCGACTCCTTACCACTTCCTCCTTTTTTCAAAACTAACAAGGTTAATAGGTGAGGTCAGGTCAGTCTATTATTTGCTATGATAAACAATGATTTTCACTCTATCTAAAATTTGAAAGTTTGGAACTATTTCACATGGACTTCATTGCTTTGTTATTTTCTTTTTAAGTTTGTCTGATTCCAATTAATTAGACAGATTTTCCGACATTCCATGTTAGCAGGTTGCAGAATTGAATAAAAAATGGTGTTGAGGTGGTTCATGCAGGTTAAACTATTTGAGAAACTATTCGAGTGTTTTCCAAGCTTCGTTTAATTTATGTCCGGTTGTTTCCTGTCGCTGCCTGTGTGCTGCTGTCTAAGTCTTTTGTCGCGGCTAACCGCATGGTTTGTAATTGAATTAGGTGTGATGCGTGTTTTCCCTGCCTTTTGTCCTGAGGTATTATTGTCCTATGTGACTGCTAGTTTCTGTTTGATTTTAGTACGTTGCGTGCTACTTCTTCTTCTTCTTCTAGGCGTTCGGCTCGTTCGAGCCATGCCCTCTCCCCCTGCATCTGTCTGTGTGTTTGGCCATGTTTGTCGCCGACAGTGTCCTGTTGCATTTGCTACATTCCTTCTTTTTTGCTATGTATTTTCTGGGTTTTTCAGCTTCTTGAGGGTTACAGACTTTGACGTGATTTTTGTATGGACCTTCTGTCTTCCATGTTTTCTGGCAACGACTGCACGTGAAAGAGTGCGAGGCTTCGGTGTGCATTCTCTTTATGTGAATCTTTAGTCCCCCTACCGATTTGCAAACCTTTTCACATATGTCACACTGTAAGTTCGTCGGGGGGAGATCGAAATTCCTCTTCTCTAACTTTTCTTCCCCATCATGGCGATTCCCTTGTTGGTACTCCCATTTCTCCAAGTGGTCCATGCGTATCTTGATTCTTCTTTTCCATTCTTTTCGGTCTAAGGCAAATTTAGGGGCTTCGGTCCAGTTGATTCCGGCCTCCTTGAGCAACTTCCTCCAGTAGAAAATGGTTTTCCGTTTGTAACCTGGTCGCTTCTGGATTTCCTCGAGGCTGCCCAGCCACCCTAACACCGCCATTTTAACCGTCCTTGCGTTGCTCATTCTTAATATGTGGCCTATCCGCTCTAATGTACGTTTCTCGATCTTCCATCTCAATGATCTTATGTCGTACATGTTCCGGATGTCCTGCATATTAACCCCCTCAAAATGCATTTGTTTCAGCGGTGGACCCTTTTTATTACTCCAGAGATATCTATACCTTTTATCTATCCACGACTGAATATTATTGATCTCTTGGTTATACCACGGCCGAGTAGCGCAATCGAATAGGAGCCCACTTTCGACACATGCTTGCACCACTTGTGCTTGTTTCTTTCTGGGAAGTTTACTTTTCAGAAGTTGCGAGCGGCATTTTGCCCATAGGTATCCAGCTCGCTTTTTTCTATTCATTAGGTCTTTTTTGGGACCTAGCCAACAACCCAACATGCGTATTTCTTCTGCTTCTTCTGATCCAAATAAAGCCTTTTCTTCTTTGTCTGTGTTGTTCTTTTCCTCAAATTTCTCCATGACTTCTTTGATAATGTTAACGCCCTCTTCCAGCTCTCTTTGCTCGCCGATGATAGTGGTATCATCTGCGAACAAGGATATGGTTATGTTAACAGTTTGCGTCTCGCTGTTTGACTTTTCGATCTTGTTTATATCCGGTATATTGCTGCCTGGTATCCATCGCCATTTTATGCCCGTCTGTCCATGTTTCGCGTCTGATATCTTTTTCCGTTCATTCTCCGCTATGCGCATTACCACTTGGTGATAGATATTGAATAGACATGGCGATGTCGAGCAACCCTCCCTGAGACCCCGTTCTGGGATCCATTCCTCGCTATCTCCCTCCTTCCCTTTCACTTGGTAACTGGTTGCCTCGTGTAAATCTGCTAGGGATTCTGGGAAGGGTCCTTTCATCCCGTAGTTTCGCAGGATTTCCCAAAGAGCTGGTTTGTTCACTCTGGGATACGCTTTACGTAGGTCCAAAAGCCTTGCTTCGGGGTCAGTATGTTCAATTTGAGGCAGGTTCCAGATTGCTCGCCTCTTCTTTAGATCGTCTGCGTCTTCTGTTATTCTGACCAGGATTTGTGTTGCATCCGCAGTCGACCTTCCGGTCCTGAAGCCGCTTTGATTGTCATCTAGAATATTTAGGCGTTCTGTCCACTTTCTTAGTCTTTTGGACAGAATTCTTGCCAGGATCCTGCTGCCCATGGCCAATAGGCAGACTCCTCTATAGTTGTTTACATCATTTTTTCCGCCCTTCTTATGTAGGGGTACTATTTGTCCGTTTTTTAGGATTTCGTCCCATGTCGGGGCGCGGAATAAGAACATCTTTTTAACCATGGCCACTATTGCTGATTTAATATGTGGGCTGGCCAATTTGATGTACTTTATGCGGACATTGTCTTTTCCGGGCGCGGACTCCCTTATTTCACTGATGCAGTCCTGTATTTCCTTATCCGATGGGGTCTCATTTAGCAGGTTATTTTCTTCGATATACTTCTTTTCCGCTCTGTGATCCCCCATACGTGCAACAGTATCCATTAGAAGCTGAGGGCTGATTTCATATCGGTTTTTCGATACTCCTTCGAAGTGGGCTTTGAATTCATCAGTTGTGAGTGTTGTGCCAGTATCCGGTTTCCTATCTCTGCCGCCTAATTGGCGTAGTGTTCGGTACATGGTGCCCATATCTCCTTTGATGTTGGCCTGTTGGCATTCGTCTAGGATTTTATCCCACCATTCACGTTCTAATTCTTTCAGCTTCCCCTTCATTTTAGCCCTTGCTTTCCTAAGGTTGTCCCTATTACGCAGTATATCTTGGAGTGGACGGTCTTGCTCTAAGGATTCGTTTCTATCCCTCACGGCCGAAGCTATGGAATTATGGAGCTGTGACAGCTCATCTTCGTGGCCGATCGTCCACGGATTCGCTATCTGCCTGGTTCTCTTTCCACATACCTTTAATGCAGCTTGCGTTAGCGCTGTCGCTATTTCGCTCCATGAGCTATCCTCGTCCACCTCCTTTGTCTCGGTCTCCTTTTGGAATTTTAGAGCTGTCTGCTCAGTACTCAATTTCTCCCAGTTTATTGCTGGTTTCCGTGCTACTCTTGTTGGTCTGGACCTCTTTGGGATTTTTAGGTGGAGGGATACCGGCTTGTGGTCCGATAGCGTTAGCTCCTCGGTAATTTGTATCCTTTTTGCATGCCTGTGCCTTTCTCCTCGCCTCATTATAAATCCGTCCAGCTCATACCATCTGCGGTGGCTGTGGTTAAACCAAGTTCCCCTTTTCCTAAGGTTAGAGAAAGAGTTTATCCATTGGAGATCGTGCGCTACACACCAATCGAGGAGGTCTCCTCCTGCTTCGGTTGTTGGCGTGGTTAGACCATACCTTCCATTTGTTTCACAGGCTCTCCCTTCCAATGTGAGCATTATGGTCCCCTCCAATTATTAATACCTTGGTCTTGGGGGTTCGGGCTACTTCATTTTCTAGGCAGTGTCTATATTCTATATTATATCTATATTATATATTCATATAATCTTTAGTGTCTTCGTCTCCTGGAGCCTTGTTTCCTACGGTGTTTTGAAATGCGCTGTTGCGTTTGATTACTTGACCCTGATTTTTTTTATATTCACAATTATTACAATTGATAGTCTTTCGAGGGCTGTTATCGGCTTGTTGAATCTTGTCGAATTCTTTTGTGAAAATTTTGCTGTTATGGTTGTTTTTAGTGGTTGCGGCTTATCTTTCGTTTTTCTGGTGGGCCAGTAATTACTATTTCGACTATGTTCAGATGCGGTCTTTGAAGTGTTTCATTGCCCGTTGGTGTTAAAACCTTTCGTTTATGAGTGTCGCTTTCGTTGGCCAAAACTGTGGTCGTTTTTTTCTGCTGGCGAGGGCCAATGCCGACGTTAAATTTTTATCGGTTTTGTGTTCATTTGAAAATTTTCCGAAGTTATGGGTGACGTAATTGATAAACAGAATGATACGCAGTGATTTTTATTATGGAGTGCTGCGGATTTTTGATTTTGCTGTACGATGCTGTGGACTGTCGTACCTGCTGATATTTGTACCGAACGACTCTTAAAAGCGGTGAATCGAAGCGATAAATGTCTCTCTAGGCAGATATTGGGTTAAAGTTGTCTTGGCTGTTCCGTTGAATTTGCTGCACATTCTGAAGAATTTTACGATTGCTGCTGTAAGTCTAAAGTCCTCTTGGTTGAAATAAAACAGTATTCTGGTGTTCTGGGATTTGTTCTAATAATTCGAGGCTTATTCTGTCGATTGCCGTTCTTAGCATGACTGATCCTATTTCAATTGTAGTAACTGGCATGTATTTTTTTCCTTGCAATAGTTTTGATAGATGCTGTTGAGGTCTGTTTCCAACGACAGTTCATTCGTGTTGTTTCCTCAGTGGGTCCATGCAAGATGGTGGAGTTAAAATCTACTGCTTTCGAAGATTCGTCCATCTGCATTGCTGATGTTATCGACTTTAAAAATCTGTTGATGATTGGAATTCCGTTGCAACTTGAAAGTGTTCTCTTTTGCTGATGATTTCGAAGCGATTGGCTGCTTCTTCAAGAGTCTAACTTATTCCGCTGCTTCTGCTGTAGATAGTCTGTTGCTCGTTGGCGCAAATGACATAGTTGCTGTCGCCTAATTTCTTCGTCGTTCATCAAGGTCCTGCCATTGTTCATTCAAAATCTGTCTTTACTGAGCTTTGATTGTCGCAGGATGGCTATTTGTATCAATGTTGTCTGTTCATAGTATAATGCATATTGAGTTGTCGCTGAACTCGGGGAAGGCAATGTGGTACAGGTCTAGAAGCTTTTGAGCTAAAAAGCGGTTGAGCTTGTCGCTTTCTGCTGCGCTGAGGCTGATGCCATCTTTGATCAAAAAGTTTTGCAGACCAAAAGCTCTCAAACAATTCCCCATAGGGTGAATTGTGAGATTTTCTGTTGCGGTGGCCATAAAATGCGAGTCGAAGAATCCTCCGGTTAAAATCTGCCTGCTGTGTTTTGTGTCAGGTAGTTCTAAAAAGTGTGCGGTTTTCTGATATTTAGCTATTTGTACCTCCAGTGTCGAGAAAAACGTACACGCCGATGAAGCTGTGATTACGCTGGAGCGTGATTTAGGCGATTTGATTGATTGGGCCGCTGAATGGTTCCGACATGCGGGCGCTGATTTCGTCGATCATTCATCGTGCAATGATGAAGGATGAAATTGGTTGCATTTGCTGCATGTGTGGTTTGATGGACAATCTTTCGCCTGAGGTTCTTTTTCGTCCATAACGAGTTTCTTCCTTTTCTCGAAAGGCTAACCTTGGTACGGGCTGTAGTATGATGGGTGGTTGTTCTCTCCGTCGAGGGGTATAGAGGTTGGTTATAGGTATTTCAGTTTCCCGATGTCCGTAGAGAAGGCTGGTAGATTGATGACCGATATCCGTTGGCGTGTCGAGGTCGCAAGTCTTTGGTGTAATCTCTCGAGTTCTGGTTTTTCTGTTGCGGCCGCGTGGATGCTAAATGATCGCATGCTAATGCAAAATAATTCATCCAAATATTGAAAGCAATCAGGTTAGGCTGGTGGATGCTTTTGGTGGTGTTGCAAAGTTTACGTTTATAGTTCAGTTTAAGTCATCTTTGAACCCAATTGTTCGAAAAGTTTTAACCATATTGCCGGAGATTGTCAAGAATTCCATGAATGAATCCTTGCAAAAAGTTGATGACTGCTTGAAACTCTGGAGTCGGCTAACGAAGTCATTGATGATGTCCGGTCGTTCATATCGCCGTCGGAATTCTTGGGGAGTGGTGCTTTACAGTTGGTTGTTGCAAGCGAAACCACAATTGCTCGGTTGGCTTTCCCTGTTTTCAGTGTCGGGAGATGAGTCACCTTGTCAGCATTTGGGGTTGGCTGGTTGTGAATTGCTGCTTGAAACAAACCAAATCACGTGTTCCATTTCATTGGGTTTGAATCGAATGGTTCCATCTTGATCTTTGGTGGTTGTATGATCCGGCTGTAGGATACTTGTTACATCATGTTATCGTTCGATGAACTGAAACTGACAATGGTTCTTGTGTTGAACTCCGAGTGTTTGTTTAAGTGAAGGCTCTTGTTGTTGGCAAGTGTCGTTGATGTTGGAGGAATGCGAGTTTCATGATTATGCTCTTATTATGTTGAGAAAAGTGATCCTGCGTGTCTATTTTCCGGTTCACCGATGCCCATGGGAGGTTGCATTGACGGGTCTGATATAGCTTGGGGAGCACTGCGATATGTCATTGTAATGTGGAATGGTTGACCAAATGTATCAGCGGGGGGCTGCGTTGCTGCATGAACTGTTGCTGCGGTAGATTGAGGTTCACTGGTCGATGTTATCAGTGGGGGTATTCGCTTCTGCTGTCAAGTGATCCGATGGGTGCTGTTGGTAGGAAAAATCAGCTGTGTTGGGGCCTTGAAGTAATTTGCCTCCAGTATTCTGCTGTTGTGGAGTTGTATTTTCTCGTAGTATTTGTCTGAAGTCATCCATGACTTCGTATTCATCTTGTATTTCCGTGAGACGGTTGATGAGTTCCTCTGCAGTGACGTATTCAGTTGTGTGGTCCACAAGATAGTAGGTAGCGTCTTCTAATTTGCTGAGAACTTTCTTCCTTTCCGTCTCTGAGTGAGCTATGTATGCAATTCAAATTGATATCAGTAATGGCTTTTCGTACTCGTCTGAAGAGGCGCTCTAGTTTGGTGACAAAAAAGCTTCTCTGGGTAGAGTGGTTGTTTTTGGCTTGGCTAGCTCGCGGTCGCTGATCGTCGTTGCAATTGTCGTTTCCAGTGGTAGCTGTGACCTGCCTTTGGTAGTTCCGCCTGTGCTAGGCAGAGATTCCTAAACTTGAATGGAACGAAGTGACAAGAACAATGACGCGGTACATATATTTCAAATAAGTATATCGAAATGAACAAGTATATCGAAGTATATCGTTACAAATGTTAGATAGTAGATCTTCCGATTCTTAGACAGGCGGAAAATAATACCAACCAGACGTAAAGTTAACGTCCCTTTAACAACATTTTTAAAATCCTGAGCAACTGCATAATGAGTGTCCATTTCTTGACACTGAAGACAAAATTGTGTTGATGACAGCTGTGTCAAGGAGTAAAGCTGATGTGTGTTTTCTGGAGGTTTAGCTGATTGCCATGAAGAAAATGAACGGTGTAAATAGCTCAATCAGTTCTTTTCAACAATAGACGGTGATTTTTACTCTTTCTAGAATTTGTATGTTTTGAATTATTTGGCTGCACGTGGATTGCAATGCTCTGTTATATTTCGTTTGTCTGATCCCTTGTAATGGGGTGGATTTTCCAATTTCCCCTGCGCTGAACAGCTTGGTTCGAAGTCAATTATTGCAATTGGCACGTTGCAACAATCAGCGTATAAATGTAGATCAAAACGCCAGCTCTTTGGAAAGAAACAGAATTATACCTACTCTAGTTATCTCACGAGCAGAGTAAGGTGAAAAAGAGCTCATCTTTTCGACAAAACCCATAGCTGAGTAAAGCAGTTGAAAAAGAAACACTAGTACTCACGGACTTGAGTTGTATGAACCTCTCCTGTATCTCGCTGATCTCCCTACTCATCTCCACCTCCTGCTGTCTCTGTCGCTCTCTCAGCTGCTCATTCTCATTCAACAGGTAGTCTATCTCTGCCTGCATCTCCTCATTCCCCCCACCCACACCAACGGCAACAGGGGACGTCCTATGCAACAACAGCAATTAATTTGAGTCCTGACAGCGCAGGCATTTTTCTTGCCAGAACCCTCTCAAAATTGTAGTCTAAAAAATGCATGAGGCGCAAAGTACTTGACTCAATGGAATATTTCATCCGTTATGGTTTTAAGCGAGCTAGCGAACTCATTTAACGACCACTAAAGCACATAAGATTCAAGAACAATCATTTTTCTCCGAAATACTAAACCCCCATCTGTATTTGTCTATCATTGCGAAACTCACGAGAAACTGTTTCATCTAATAACTTATATGCTGACTAACACTATGCTGACTTATATAAACACAGAGGCGAAGCGAACAAAAATGAGACGGAAATAACATAATCGAAACAAATCATCTCAGAAAAACAGTCGCAATATACAACAACCAGTATTAGAGAAGCTTTTAGTATAAACGAGTGTCGACAACAAGTGGGTAGATGCCCATTGAGCCGAAAACAAGTAAAAAACTGTTGCCATAAAAAACTTCGAAAAACAAATTTTACACAGAGGCGAAGCTGGGCTTCGCAAACGCTTGCGCGAACACGACAAAAAGCAATAAGCCTCGAATTAGAAAAAATTCTTCAACGTCTCAGATTCTTCCGCACTAACCATTCAACCGCGTTTTTTTTTCAATCACATTTTTTTTTTCAATTTCATACGTACTGAAAAAACATAGCCAACTGACCGTTGGAAAAATCTTTCAAATTTCAAAGAAAAAAATAGATACCATTTAAGCTCTTTGAATTTCTAGAACAATTTATGATTGGCGCTTTTTTGATAACATTAACCCAACTAGATAAAACTGGATCAATAGGTAAATAAGAGCTATTTACGTCACTTTCAGCAGATGAATTTCAATTGAACTCAAAAAATGCATATATACCTACGAGCATTCATAAATGCATTAATATGTCAGAATGCACATCTGTAGTTCTTAAGAGCATTTTTAGACTTTTCCTGAAAAACAACCCAAAAAAATCACCAAGACCTATGTAAGAGTCTTCACTATGTTCATTTTCTTAAAAAATAGCGTCAGGCCGGTACTCGAACCCAAAACCTCAGTGTACACAGGCAACTGGGAATTCTTGAAGTTGCCCAGGATCACTAATAAAGCAATTTCACAATTTGTTTATGTGTTACTTACTGTCTTACCAGTGAGAAAAGTTGTTTAGTGGAAAAAAGTCTAATTCCCGATTACAAGAAACTTGCTCTAGCAAGTGTAGAAAGAAAAAACAACTCACGTTTGTGACGAAGGACTATACATTTCTATCTGGGGTGGTAGAGGAGGTACTTCAGGTGGACTTCTCTTGGGAATGACGTCGGGTGCTCTCCCCAAGGCTCCCAGAGTGAGGGAGGAATTTGCTGCTCTGGGAAGGAGCGGAGGAGGCGCGGGGTCCTGCACATCAACCAAGGTTCCAGAAGCACTTGTCCCGCCAACCTAAACCAATCGAATCAATATTTTTGAGCATATTGACGGGGCATCAAACCTTATAATGTAGTCTAAGTTGGTAAGGAAAATAAATAAGCTAAGGCAATCAAATGGTCATTACGAAAAATTAACGGCAAAAGTCTTCAGAGCAGACTCTGTTCTAAAAACAATTTAGCGATTCAATCTCGAATTCATCGCAATCTGCAAACTCTTAGAAGCTCAATATATGTCGGATCCAAAACTTTTTTGGAGCCTTATCTTTTATGAGATGAATGAACACCAAATTTAAGATTTCATCAGATTTCAACCGTTGCTTTCATGTCATAGTTCAATTCCACTGATATCAACTCTAAATTTACACTGCTGTCGTCTTCGTAGTAATAATCGTAATCTCCTTGTTCTGATGCAGGCTGCTTGATTATTTCCACTGGTGCATAATGTTGTTTGGAAGCTGTTTTTTGAGCCACACGCGAGAAATCTGGCGCCACCTATAAAGATTAGAGACATTAATTGTTCAAAGTTTTTTTCCATTACTGATTCACTTCTATCGTGTTTAAACAAAATATGCACAAATTATAGAAATTTCAGTCATTTTAGACGGAGATTATCATTATAAGGAAAAAATTTATATATCTTAACAGACTCATGTCAAGTCAATAAAAAGTCACTTACACTTAGTGAAGGAAGATGCATGAAAGATTTCACGTAAGTCAGTCTGGCAGCTTCTGAGAAAAATTGTTTTGTCCTGAAAGCGAAAACTCATGATAACTTGAAAAATTTACAATTTTTAAGTACAATTTATTCCAGGATCTAAGCAGACTTACGGCTGGAATAATATCTTGAATCGATCCACATGTCCAAGCAAGAAGTCGGATGGAAGAGCTAAAGATCCAATTCGACAAATATTTAGATGTTACATAAGGATAGTATGAGCGAATCTCTGTCATTATCTCAACGTCGAAATAAAGCTCGAATAAGTTCTTTTAAGACTTCGTTGTTTCAGACTAGAGAATTGATCAAGTTAACATTCAGCCCCCAAATTGACCAAGGAAGAATCCGTGACGCCCACCCCACAATTAATTTGGATTAAGACTGCTCAGCAATTCGTGTGAAGTATTCAATTCTGATTGCCTGAAAATTTAATTCCAAAAACGTAGCCAACAAAGTGTCAATCATCTCAAAGAAACCGAACAAAAAACTAAACATTTCTTAAAGAAAAAAAAACATTTGGCCTTTAACTTTAACAAAACAAACCCAATTTGAGAAAACTTGATCAAAAGGTAATTTGTGTATTTCTCTAGGAAATCATAAATTTAAAATCGACATTTGGAACTAAAGTCAATCACATTCTTTATGCCATTTTTTTTTGTTATTGGAGAGCTTGTCTGTTTGAATTTGAATTGAACATAAAAATAAATCAGATTCAAACCACGAAAATTCAAGCTTGAGTGTGAACAAATTTTAGGATTATGCAATACGGTTTGCTTGTTTACGGGTGTACGTCTTTCTCTAGGGCAAAAGAAACTGATCAAAAGATTTATTTCATGCGTAAGTTTGACAGTATAACAGATGAATTTCAATATAACTAGCATGTAACGCACCTCCGGTGCTTCCAGTTTTTATTAACTCAAAAAACCAAATATATTGGAAATAAGATCTGCATCATTTGAGTGTACTCTGACAGCAACCAATTACAGAAATTAATTGAAACTTTGAAAAACCATAAAACTTTGTGAAGTTATACTTAAGTTAAAATGAGCCAAGAAACTTCAAATCTCGGAAACTCAAATCAATTGAAAAGTCGCATTTGTAAGCAAGATTTGCAACTCCTGAGAGTACTCTTACAGTACCTAACTACAGCGTTGGGAAACTCAAATTTTGAGAAACTTCAAACTTAAGTTTTCCAAAAAAGATATATTTTTTTTGAAAAAAAAACGTCACATCTTGAAAACTACCAAAATTTGAGCAATCGTATTTGAAGGCAAGGATCGAAACCCCCGAAATTACTCTGACAGCCCCCATCTATAGGAAACTTTTTTTGAAAAAATCACATAAAACGTCATATCTGAAAAACTACAAAAATTCGAGCAGTCATATTCGGAGGCAAGATTAGCAACCCCTAAGCGTACCCTTACAGTTTTCAACAGCAGGAGGGATGTTCAAGCTTTTGGAATTTTTCAAAATCTAAGTTTTTTTTTGAAAACTTTTGAAAAAATCGTAAAAAACGTCATATCTCGATAACTACAAGGATTCGAGAAGTCAGGTTTGGAGACAAGCTTTGCAACTCTAAGAGTAACCTGAGAGTACCCAAGTACAAGATTGAGAATTTCAAGTTTTCGGAAATTTTTTTAAATTAAGTTTTTTAGAAACTTTTGAAAAGTTTCGAAAATTGCCTTGTCTCGTAAACAAAAGGCTTTGGTTATTCAGATATGGGGACCAGAATCGCAACACCCGGGGAAACCCTGAAAGAATACCAATATTTAGTTACTAATTTCAAACTTGGTGAAACAAACGCTGAATTTAAACTGGAAAATCGAAAAAATATATATCTTACCTATTGCAATATACGATATAGCTTGAACGTGCAAAAATTCTTTACTTAAACATGCAAAAATAATACGTTGAAAAAGTTTAAACATGGCAAGATAGTGAAGCCCGCATTCAAATATATAATAGATGAGATTTGTCAGTCGAATGAACAATATGCATACGATCTTTTAAAATTTTTTCTTCGATCAGTGAACAAATTGCATTCAAATAATTTTTTGAATCAATTTTTTGCAGAAAGTGAATTTGCTTATAATACCCGTAGATTATTATTTCAAGCTTTCAAAAAAAACCAGCGCACTTAAGAAAATCAAATATGCATTGCTGCAGAACCGTGGAGCAAAACTTCTCTCATCGTTCTATACGAAAATCATTTAACACCAGACAATTTTTGACAAACTAACTGTCAGCTAGTTTTTGTGCACAAATTAAAAAACAATTACATTCTAGGAAATCCGGATTTTTTTCGGAGATTTTTAATTTCTTTATAAAATTTAATTTTTTAAAGCCCGTATTTGGATGCTGTCGAGTGTTATACGTGTTGTTGCGAGTCTATCCTGAAAAAGTGGTCTTCTGAATCCTTCTAGTTTTCGAGAATCGTTGGTTTTTTTTTACATTCTCCTTTTCATCAACTTTTGTTTCCTTCAAGAAGCACAAAATTGGATAGGCCTGTTTATAAATTGTGACAGATATGTTCTATAGTTGCATTGGGCATCTAATCCCTGGAAAAATATTAGGAAAGATAATTTTGGTTTTTTCTTTCCTAATAATGCCTACCCTTAAATTTTTTTTCTCTTAAAAATAATTTTGGTTTTAAGGGTACGCATTAAGTGGGCACCTTAGCGTGCCTCTCAATAATACAAGAGAATATGTATACAAGAGAAATAAATTCATCTTCTTCTAATTGTCGCCATTTACAAATCGACGCCCGACCACAAATTCGCATTCGCAAGTAAAAATATGGCCGACAACGCTTCTGGGAATAACTGAAAGATTAGAACTTTGAGTCTACAAAATATCTTAAGTGACGCACGCCAATCATGAGTCTACATAATTGCTAACTGACGCAAGCCATTTATGACGCATTAGCAGTAACAGTCAATTTGAAACAAAGAAATTTACCACTAAGTCTCAATTTATAACGCGGACGCATTTTAACTAGAATACGAAAAAGTTCATTAAAAACATCCGACCCTGCCCAGGTTCGAACCCTCTTATTTTGTTGCGCGTCTCCTTCCCTCCCTCTACCCTATAGATCCGTGATACCTTTGAGCTAAAGTGCTATTTGTAATATAAAAGTCTGTGTTAATACTTAGCATTGGCTGTACTAAATTGCTGGTTATTGATCAAAAAGAACATTTTCAAATTCAACACTAATATTTGCGACTTGGTTGGAAAAAAGCGAGTTCATCCTTTGCTTGAGTGATAAACGGAAAGAAGGACTAACTGGAGTGTAGTTTGAACATGCTCCTGACAATGAGGTCGTATAATTGACAAGTATCCTGAATGAGGGGAACCAATGGAGACAGGAAGCACTGAGACTGGGCAGTGGCTGTACCCCACCTCCCTCTCTCGATCACCTTGAAAACTGAAATAGATATATTTTTGCTGATGGATTCAATCCTTGGCACTGCTCATTAAACATTCACAAATAATTATTTTCAGATTTAACAGAATTCAGAGATCAGACTCAACCTTTTAGTGACTACAAAGTGAACAGTTACTTTTAATACTCGAATACTGCAGAGTTGTTCCGGACGCATTTGATGAATAACTATATACGATTAACTTACTCTGTGATTGTAAAGTCAAAGAAGCCTCCAAATAATCAAATAGCTCGGCACAAAGGTTGAATCTAAACAAAACAAAAAGCTCAGTTGAACACACAATTTTCAGGTACAAAAAATGGCTCACTATTTTTTCTTAATAACTCACAAATTATCAGGATGGGAATCGTATTCCTCTTCGAAGGTGGAGATGTTTTCGAAGTGTAGATTTCCAGGAAACAGTGGGTTCTAAAAATCAGTCATTCATTAAAGAAATCAAAAATGGTCAAACATTTTTCCCGTTAAATTATTCCCCACGAAGTAAACCAGGAGACTTTTGAACAACACATCGAAATATTTCAATTTTTGAGTATTCAAATCATGAGTCATCACGAGTTATTTACCCTTTCGTGAAACTTGAGCTTATTCACAAGTAGATCACAATAAAACGCAGTTGTCCTGCCGTATCCATCAGCCATATTAGTCCACAATCTGGATAGGGTATCCAAAAAGGGAATCTGTCTCGCAGAATCCGCCAGTGCATTAGGGTGCCCGTCTCTAAGAACATTATGAGTCACCAGACAGAATTTGTAGGCTGTGACGTCGTGGCCTTGTAGCCCCATTTGCACTACTATGCTCCAGAAGGTGGATGCGCCTCGCTCTCGGTGAGTAGACATTACAGCAACTGAACAGGCAAGTTAATTCGAAGCGGTCAGAAAGAATTCGTAAATTTTTATTCAAAACTTGACCTCAAAACATGCTTCTAAGATTTTGAGTTCGAAACTTTAATGGTTGAATTGCAATACTACCAAATTCCCTTTCAAACGTAATTAATGATATTCTATCATATAACTATTCTAACTAATGATAGTGAGATTAGATGGCCTGCTAAAACTCACTTCTGATGTGTTTTTGCTTCGGAGGTATTTCTTTGTTGTTGATGACTTTGGAGAGTGATGTATACTAAAAAAGGACCCGCTAGAAAATTAATCGATTGACTTGGCAGATTTGCGCTTTCAGTAACTCCATTTAGCTGAATAAGTTTTTAAGTAAATTGAACTTGACCTACCACAGCCTTTGAAAACTCCTCCGTGGTACCTTCAGCAGATGTCAGCGTACTGCTTTTGCGCATTGAGTTTCGCATAGTCATTGTGCTCATGTTTACTAATTATTTACACTACATATCTGAAAACACTGCAAATGCTCAAGTATTTCAATTTTCAACTTTAACAACACACAGGGACGGATTCAGGGGAAGAGGCGGATTACCCCCACCCCTAGGAATTCGATACTCTCACCATCCCCTTTGTTTTTTTACGATACACAGTTTTGGCTATTCAATCCTAAAATGTTTCTTGAGGTGCATACATATCATCCTTACGAGTAAAAACGGAACTTTTGGCTCAATTTTGCAAAAAATTTTTACATCGACGCAAAAATTTTGGGTCTTTCGGCATTCCAGGCGTGCTGCTCGGTCGAAAATTTTATTTTTGAAAATCTGCTTCCATGCCTTATGAAAATCCTAGATCCTGCCTGATTACACTTGATTGAAAAATTACAAAAGGTATTTAAATTAGAAGATCATTAACAGAGGATTAGGATTAAAAAAAGCTTTCAACCGTAACGCTACGGACCCTTCTTTCCATCTTTTTTGATCGAAGTAACGCAAATTGAGAAAAGTTGAGTATTCGGTGTTTTCTATTCGGCTGAGAATTTGAACCCTCGTTTGTAACTAAAACCATCATGTTTTTTTTCGCGCCGTTTTTGCTTTCGTTATTGCAGAGTGTCTTCTATTTAATAAACGAAAAAATTAACGGCCTTCGTCCTCGAAGAAACACAAACTAACAAGAGTGCACAAATGTGTTGTTTCAAATTCGGTACAATAGTTCTAATCCCGATTGAACGGCTCTGAAATGATAAATCATTCATTTCATTCTGATGATTATTTAGAGTTACCTGTTTTTGCGTTAAAAAAGGTAAAAAAAACACATCGAAGACAAAGTTCCTCCCCATTTTCAATGATCGGAACAAAAATCACACGAGCTGAATGAATGAAAAACCATATCGTTCGAAGATACTTCACAAGACTGGTCGTATAAAGGCAAAACCCAGAATGCTCACACTGTCCTTTAGCATCTAAGAATTAGTTTAAGGCAAAAAAAATGTGTTCAATACTTTTTCAATAAGCATTAAACTTCAGTTCATTTTTAAAATCTTCACCCCACACGCTAGTTAAAATATAAAATGACGTCTTGACGGTCTAGTGACATATTAATACGACCAAACAGCTTTTGAGCAGGATTAAATCGTCGCTTAAGCATTATAAACACGAAATATATATCGCGATAATTGTCCCGAGTTGACCATTTGAAAACCACCGAAACTTTAGAAATGATTAAAGAGTATGTATCTTAATAAATGTGAGAGCAAAACGTTATTCCTTTCGGATGAACTTTTCAGACATCAATCGGTCACTTTCTTCGAAAATTAGATCAATGGCAAAAAATTGAAACTTAATTGCGCATACACAACACGAGAAAATGATCAAATTAAAGCAATAAAAAATGAACCTAGTCGAGTAGTTTCCCATTCTGATACTTCTAAGCATAATTAACAGTTAGTAAAGCAGATATAGCTAGATCATGATGTTAAACACCAAGATAAAGCTGCACATCGCAGACTAATGACAAAATAGAAATTTGAAATGCAAGAAAATACACGTATAGCTAGCGAACAGTTTTAAAAAAGTTGAAGCAACTCAAGGAGATTGAAAAAAAAGTAATTAGAAAACGTAAGGAAAAAATATGCTCATCAAGCTCTTCGATTATCAAGAAATTTTTGATAATGCTAGCACAAATACACCTTTAGATTATTGTTTATTTTTTGTTGGGAAATCTGAACATTGCCAACAGATGCTTGGAAAAATTAAAAAAAAAACTCAGGAAAAACTGAAATACAGAGGCGAAGTTGTACTTCGCATACACAAGCAAAAATATGACCGATAACGGTACTTGGAAAAACTGAATGAGTAAAACTTTGAGTCTACAAAATTTCTCAAGTGACGCACGCCAATTATGAGTCTACATAATTGCTAACTGACGCAGGCCAATTATGACGCATAAGCAGTACCAGTCAATTTGAAACAAAGAAATTTACCCAGTAACATGCCTCAATTTATAGAGCGGACGCATTTTAACCAGTAAACGAAAAAATTCATAACAAACATCCGTCGCTGTCCATGTTCAAACCCTCTTGTTTTGTTGCTGCTCTCATTCCCTACCTCTACGCTACAGATCCATAATACCTTGAAGCTTAAGTGCTATTTGTTATATTACAGTCTGTTTTGAAATCCTCAGTATTGGCTGTACTTAATAGCTGGTTATTGATCAAAATGAATACGTTCAAAGTGAACAAATTTTGTCGCAACAAAATTTGCGACTTAGGTTGGAAAAAAAGAAAGTTCATACTATAACAAGCTTTGCTTGGGTAAAGAAGGCAATTGAACGCTTAAGAGCATTTTTCAACTTAAAAAACATCACGTTAACGCTGATACATGTTTCTCTTAAAGACTGTTTTTGCTTAGCCCGTTTTTCTTGAATTTACCTTATTTAGAAAAAGCTGGATAGATTTAGAAAAAGCTGGATTGTTAAAGTTCATACTATAACAAGCTTTGCTTGGGTAAAGAAGGCAATTGAACGCTTAAGAGCATTTTTCAACTTAAAAAACATCACGTTAACGCTGATACATGTTTCTCTTAAAGACTGTTTTTGCTTAGCCCGTTTTTCTTGAATTTACCTTATTTAGAAAAAGCTGGATAGATTTAGAAAAAGCTGGATTGTTAAAGTTCATACTATAACAAGCTTTGCTTGGGTAAAGAAGGCAATTGAACGCTTAAGAGCATTTTTCAACTTAAAAAACATCACGTTAACGCTGATACATGTTTCTCTTAAAGACTGTTTTTGCTTAGCCCGTTTTTCTTGAATTTACCTTATTTAGAAAAAGCTGGATAGATAAGCTTTGTTTTTCGCTGGGAATTCACAAACCTGGAGTTCATTTTTCAAACAAGAAGTCATTCACGTTTTTCGCGAACAGTTTTGCGGGTCGGCAACCCAATTTTCTTGCTGTTATAAAACGAACAGAATTGAACTTAAATTGAAAAGTAAGAGCGTCAAAAAAATTCAAGAATTTTACCGAAAAAAAATCGAACAAAAAATCATCACGACCTATATTAGTGTCAATCACTTCGCTCTTCTACACTTTGAAGTTAACTCAATTTTTCAATACCTAATTGAAAAGCGTAACTTACCTTACTTTAAGCGAATGAATTTGATCTGAACATTAATACATAAAAGTCAAACCAAGGTCCTGAAAAAATCATTACTGCACTCATTGACACTATAAAATTTTTAAAGCATCACGACCTAATACAAACAGGTTCACAACGTTCATGAACACTTAAATACAACTCAACGTGAAATGAAGTCATTCAAATTCATTATAATTATTTGTTAAAACGGAAACATTTCGACAAATTTTTCTCGACATTGAAACAACTTTAATTTTTTTAGAATCGAAAGCACTGAACGAGCTTTTATATCATACAACGTTCAACCCCCTTTGAGTTTTCATTGAATTACTAAAAAATTGGATTCTAAATCCAGATCATTGCGTTTTTGTATCGACAGCCTTCGCCTAGTTTTCTTATACCGAGATGGAAAAAATCCATGACCAGTATCTTCAATAAGATACTTTTATGCTTCAGTTTCCCTTGAATATTGGAGAAAAATCTGAGATCACATAAAACTGAATATGAAATTAGTTCCGAAAATTGAACTGCAGAAAGAAAAATGCCTAATATCACTTCGGCCATCTTTTGCAATTCAACTGAAAAACATAACTGAATCACAGCCACCGAGCGCGGAAAAAGCTGAGAGCATATGGTAAGACGCCCACGGAGCCGAAAATCAAAACAAATTGCCATAAGAAACTATTAGTGCGTAACCCGCACCAACGGTGCTTCAAATAAATTGTTGAACGTGAAATTAGATTCTAAAGGCATTTACAAAAAACAACGACATTTGATGCAACTGTATTTAAATTGGGCCCATCCATAAGCGTTTTCTATTTCATTAATTGAACTGTTTTTGAAACCATCGTTTAAGTTATTTTTCACCCCAACGGTCCTATCTCAAAAGCTGCTTGGAGATTTATCAGATTTAAGAAACTTTAAGCACAAAAAAGGATCATAAAAATCCAAAGCATGCGTATACTCGTTTCACATTTTCTTTCGTTTTGAAATCATTCAGACTTTTATTGAAAAAACTTGAAAAAAATCAGACCTCGGAAATTACAATGGAAAGTTAGAAACCAAAGTTATAATCTCTAGGAGTTCCCTTACAGCACCACAAAACATGTTTGAAAAAAAAAACAAAAAAAGCCTAATAAACGTCTTATCTCGGAAAACAAAAAGATTTGAGCAGTATTCTTAGGAGACAAGATTTGCTATCCGAGTGTACCGTAAAAACGACCTCCATAAAACGCCATATCACAAAAACCGGTCAAATTTGAGCAGTAAAATTTGGAGGCCAGATTTTCAAATCCTGCGCGTGCTCTGATAGCACTCCATATGGTTGAGATTATCAAGTTTTTTTGTGTTTTTAACATCTAAGTTAAAAAAAACGCCAAATCTCGAAAATCAAATAGATCTGAGCAGTTATTTTCGTAGGAAAAAATTGCATCTCCATAGTGTATCATGGAAGCAACACACCATAGTGTTAAGCTTTTCATGTTCTGTTAACTTTTTTTTCAAATCTAAGATTTTGAAAAAAAACTGAAAAATTCTATAAAACGCCATATCTCGGAAACCAGAAGAATTTGACAAGAATTAATTGAAGGCAAAATTTGCAAACCCTGAGTGTACCCTGAGAGCCAAATTGGTCAAAAGAAGCTTATTCGCCATAATTAATTTGTTACAAGGAGCGAAATCTATCCTTTTGTACTTTATATTGCGTGTGGGGGGATGATTTTCATTAAAAATTTTCAAATTAAAAAAAAAAAAATCCATTTTTTTTTCATTTAATTTTTTTTCGTTATTACTGCTGGTCCATAAAACTTAAAAGGCAGTCGGAGCATTGCGATTTTCAAAATTTGATTGTTTTTTTTGTTCCGACTTTCGATACGAAAATGACGAAATATTTGTGCTCGGGGTGGGTTTTTTTTTCTTCAGACAAATTTTGACTTTTTAACTAGCCATTTTTGACAAAATTTTTTTATATCATTCGAAAGGTATTGTTGTCCTGAGCTTAAATTTGAAAAGATATTTCACCTGTGTTCATTTTTCGTAAAGTTATGAGGGTTTAAAGATTGCCATTTTGACCAATTTGGGACAATTAACACGCGCTATATTTCGCGCTGTTAACGCGTAAGCGGAGAGTTAATCCGTCTTAGAAGTCGTTCCAAGTTGGTCAAAAGAAGCTTATTCGCCATAATTAATTTGTTACAAGGAGCGAAATCTATCCTTTTGTACTTTATATTGCGTGTGGGGGGATGATTTTCATTAAAAATTTTCAAATTTAAAAAAAAAAAATCATTTTTTTTTCATTTAATTTTTTTTCGTTATTACTGCTGGTCCATAAAACTTAAAAGGCAGTCGGAGCATTCAGGGCTTCGCCCTGATACGAGCAGTCTTGTTTTTATTTCAAGTTTTTTGAATACTATTGAAACATCAAGAAAACGCCATATCTCGGAAGGGAAAAATAGTTGAGCTGTAATAGTTGCATGTGAAATTGGCAACCCCTTAATGTACCCAGGCAACGCTCAACCATAGGGTTGAGATTCGGCTTTCGCTAATTTTACACTCAAAATTGTATGAAAAAAAATCATAAAAACTCGACATCTCGAAAACCAAAAGAATTTGCGCAGTAAAATTTGAAGGGCAGATTTGCAACTTCTAAGTGTACTCTGAGAATACCCTGACACCAACCCACCATAGGTTTGAGAACTTCAAATTTTTGTTTCTTTTTTACCTAAGCGTTTTTAAAAAAAATAGAAAAAAATAAGCATTTGAGCAGTAATATTTGGAGGCCAGATTTGCAACCCCTGAGAGTACTCTGAGAGGGGTTGCAAATCTATAAAACAATCAATTAAAAAAGGGCCAATATGGGACCCATAAGGACTTCAGCAGTAATATCTGGAGGTCAGATTTACAATCGCTAGTGTAAACTGACCACATCTCACCTTAGTTTTGCGAAATTCAACTGAAAAACAGTGTACAGTTAAAGCAAAAGAGGCTCGAAAATGTTAATGTTCAATATTAAAGCACGTTCGACTAGCCAGGCTGCCCGCTTCGTTCAGGAAAGAGACTAACACTGATGATACGTTAAATGCTACTCTGGGTAAAAATTGGGAGTTCAAAATGTCAATTATTGAAAACCGCATCAATAATAGCACTAGATTAAACATGTGTGCCCACTTTGAGTACTGATTTTTGCACTCAATCGTTGTTGTTTCGCCTGTGCGACTTTTAATGCCTCTTCAAGTTTACGAATTTCGGCCTCTGCTTTCACCAGTTCATTCTGAGTTGGACGCTTGTAAAAGCCTATTTTCACAGAAATTTCTGCAGACTTTGCGTCGCGAACTTCCTCGAGTGACCGCCTTTCTCTTTCATTTTGTTTACAGTTTGCACTGGCCACGGATATTGACTTCAGCAGTGAGCTTGGTGGTATGAAAGTTTCAAAGTCATTTCGATCGAAATCGTTGACAAGCCTTTGGGAAAATTCACAAGATTATTTGAACAAGAATCGACATTTAAAAAATTTAGGAAACTCTGAACTTACCGCAGATAATTTTACGTGACTGTAGATAAACTAGCTTGATGAAGGTCCTCGACTGAATTCTTTCGCGAAAATCCCGATTCAACTATCATATTGAAGATAACTTCAAAGCATTGAACTGTTTTGACCAAATCTGAGAACAGTTTGCCTTCTCGACATAGCTCACTGAGGGTTTTCTACGCAAACTCTGTATTTCCTTTGACGAGAGTGAGTTCATCCAAGCATTTGGCAGAATTTGAGTGTAGAGCACCACAAAGCCGAATAAACTTGCTGTTAATGGTAACAGTGAAATCAGCCAATTGATAAAGACAATTTGAAACTCGAGAGGAACTTTCTGGTTGTATTGAGTTTCGTCCACGTGCAAACCGAACAGTTTTTCTTTCAGCTGAGCACCGAACTCTTGTTTTGCGTACGGTCCGATTGCGGGGTTCAGAACATATTGAGCTTTGGTTCTCCAACAGTTGATTTTCAGACCTTTGACTCCACTTCCATTGAACATGATATGATAAATCGAGCCTTTCCTTGAAGCAGTCTCACTACCTCGAAAAGAGGAACCCTTTAGTAACCAGTTAAAGATATGTTAAAATGTCGCACGTGCCTTGATCGTTTCTTCGTCCATTGCTACGGCCACAACAGAAACAATTGAGAAGTATTGCTCAGCCCAGTTGCAACTTTCTCTTTGAGCATTTTTTGGTTTTCGTGCTGTTTCAGCTTGGCAAAAAACGGACTTGATGCTTATCTGGGATCCATGGAGAGAACATTTGACCTTAGACGAATCGCCCATGACGGGTAAAACCCATGCACTTTGTAAACACTAACCAGAACAAGACAAAGAGCAGCTCTATAAAGAGCAATAAGAAATATAAACAAGACTGCTCGTATCAGGGCGAAGCCCTGAATGTTCCGACTGCCTTTTAAGGTTTATGGAGCAGTAATAACATTGAAAAAATCAATGAAATAAAACAAAATTAAAAAAGAGCCGATTTCGCTTCTTGTAACAAACCAATTATGGCAAATAAGCTTCTTTTGACCAATTTGGAACGATTTCTATGATGGATTAGATTAACTCTCCGTTTACGCGTTAATAGCGCGAAATATATCGCGCGTTAATTGTCCCAAATTGGCCAAAATGGCAATCTTTAAACCCCCGTAACTTTACAAAAAATGGTCACAGGTGAAATATCTTTTCAAATTTGAGCTCAGGACAACAATACCTTTCGAATGATATAAAAAATTCCGTCAAAAATGGCTAGTTAAAAAGTCGAAAATTGTCTGAAGAAAAAAAACCCACCCCGATCACAAATATTCCGTTACTTTCATAGCGAAAGTCGGAACAAAAAGAGCCTTGAATAAGTGAAAAATATATATATATATTTGGTTACGTCTCGGATTCAACACAGTAACCACGGACGCTTAATAGGTATCAAATACTAGCCACATATGAAGCAGAGAACAGCTGCTATGCAATTTCCAATGCCACAGTGAAATTTCCAAATGAGTGAACACTTTCATTTGCGAGTTAGGTTGGAAAAAAAGGTTCGTAATAACACTCTCGCTGATAGCTAGTTGAAGAATGAAATATCACTATCATTGCAATCAATGTTCAAAGTGCGAACAAAACTCTCTAGGCGTATATGAGTATTCCTTTAATTTTAATCGATTTAAGTAAAAAAGAAAACATAATTTAGAACTGTATTAATCATTCATTCATAAATATTTAAGCTAATGAAATTATTAAGTAAAAGTTCATGTCCAAATCACAAAGCATATTGATAAAAATTTCCATATACATAGAAGACAAAAAATTAGAAATTGAAAGAAGCAATTGAAACCTACATTCAGTATCAAAACAATTCAATTCCATTGTACTGATTGATACGACTCTTTAAGGTAACGAACAAATGATAATTTTGAGCACCAACTAAAATATGAATCCAAGAAAATATATCAAAAGATTTTAATTCAAGGCAACGTGCAACATCAATTCTTTCAGCCAACGCATTTTATACAATATTGACGACGTCTTAACTTTTCAACAGCATGCCTTTTCAGAAACTTAAGGAAATAGAATTAAATAAATGATATATTATGAAAAACTTCGTTTGCATTCCTTTTTATTAAACAATAAAGTACCAATGGATATTAAATCAAGCTAGAACTAAGATATTACACCAAACTGAATTTGAAAGCGCCGTACAATGATCAGATCAAACAATAACAAGAAGCATTCTATCTACCTACCTATGATATCAGCAGTATCCAAAGATAAACTATCATTTTTTATAAGACTATAACTTTGTTAGTGAGAATCGATTTGATATAATCAATAAATTGTGCTAAACGACTTCACCATTAAATTGTTTTCAATCACTTAATAATAACCACATCGACTGATCATCATTTGTTATTTACCGTCCATAGTCAGAACAAACAAAACGATTAGATTGTGGCTCTGTTCGGGAGATAAGGTTTAAATTAGTCGACTCGATTTGATTCGGAGGGTTGTTCAGATAGAGAGGTTTCCGAACTGGGCGGCGAAATGTGTGGCAAGTACTGTAGGCGGGATGTCTTGACTAAGCAGTTTGCTGTCATAATAGCTGTGCTCCCTCACTCTCCGATAGGACTCCGCGTAAGTTTCGTAAAACGCTTCTGAAACACGATCAAAATTATCTTTATTTTCTGATACAGTTCAAATAGATCACAACATGGGTAATTCTCAGCATGTAATTTCCCGAATGAACACAAGTCGTGCAAATCGCTCGCATTCTTATAGAACTAAAATAATCAACATATTGGCAATGAGGATAGTTTTTTCCAAAGTTATCAAGCCATGTGTACCACTTCTATAAGTCAAGACAACTCAGTAATGACAGAGTATCAACAATATACAAACTGATATTGATTCTTCGCTGATTTAGAGCGGCTATGGCAGTGAACAGCATCTCCCTATGCAACGCCCTTCTATTAGGATTTGCAACCGCATCCACGTTGGGCTTCGAGTACTTGGTCACATATGTCAGAATGTCTTTCATTACTAAGTCCATCTCTTTCTCATCGAATATTGCGTCTGAAAACAGTTTTCAAGTCTAGTTTGTTTATACCAATCAGCTCCTATGACAATGGACAAAAAAGTTTTCATTTGCATTTGCAAACGAATTCGATTTGAATTGCCCTCATTTAGCTAACAGTAACCAACGACCATTTCGCAAAAGAGCGAAATATTATCTCTCTCAGCAGTTCAATGAATTCAGAAATAGCATCACTTTCAACATACTGGCACTCAAATAAGGTGGCTTAATTAAAGCGCCTCACCAAATATGTTCTTCGCCAATTCTGGTTTCCATCGGTCTGGCAACTCTCCCACACATGGATCCAGAAAACTCAATTTTGTATCTTCGTTCTTCACCCAATTCAAAAACAGAGGAGTTTCCGACTCCCAGGGCACTGAGAAGGCCGGATCATAATCCGACTGACTCTTCCGCTGTTCTGATGAATTTAGTCTTTTGCGCTGAGCCGGGTGAACAAGTCTGTCCCACAGAGCAACCACGTGAACAGCACTTATTTCAGAATTTAAGCCGTTAGACGCTGATTGAGATTCATCCGTCCTTATACATGTAGATCTGAACTCGATCGAACTTGTTTTCTAAAATAGACGTGTCAATTATATATATATATAAAATCTCTCTAAGTATCGCGTTGAAGAGTTTACTTATTATTCAGTAGCATGAAACAAATAGACTTTTTAAGGTTCAGATGATGAACTTAAAAAGCATCAACTGTTTTAACTTATTCCTAATCAAATCTCAAAGCACATGGTATCATAATGCTAATGCAGCCTACTGATTTAAAAGTGCAACCAAAAGTAGCAATTTTATTTGCTACTAAGTTTGGAAAAAAGAACTTGCATCGTACTATCACACTACGCTACACCCGAGTAAATACAACAGATGTATATCATTTCACGCCAAAATAATTTCTCGCACTATCATTTTTGCTATTTCTACATAGAAGCGAAGCTGCACTTCACAAAAGCAAGCGACGAAAACGGCAAAAAGTAGCACCAGAAAAGTGAAATAAGGATAAAAAGGTAACAGAAGCCTTGAAAAAATAACTTTTGTAAAATTCTCGAAATGAACAACCGACCTGGAGATTATTGGTCTCACAACTTGCATCTGTATCATTTGCTTTTAAATCTGCAAACACTAGGACTTTCTCAAGGACTTAGCGATGTTTTTAGGAAAAACTCGAAAATTTTTCGACTTTTTAATAGCTCAAGCAAATTGAATTGCTGACCTCTCCTTAATCACTATAGAGACCCTATTTTGCCCAAATTTACTGCAATCCAGACAAACTTTTGAAATAGGGTAAAACGTCGTTATATATTGGCGCCTTAGGCGCATTTAGAAAAACTTTAGGGTCGTTCAGGCAAAATTGGATGTCTTGAAAAAGTAAACATATCCAAGAGACAGTTGAAAAAGAGTCAATAAACGCAGGCAGACAAAAAAAATATTGTTTTTTTTTTTAAATCTTAACTTTCGAATTTCAGAGAAAATATAACTGTTCTTAGAGGTTTTTGAATTTCTAGAACAATTTATGAGTGGCAATTTTTCGATAAAACTGACCCAATTTAAGAAAACTGAACCAGTAAGAAAAAATTTTATTTCGCTGGGAGATCTGAAAATTAAATTCCACTATCGAAACTAGCATTCGATCACGTTTTTCGTGACTTTTACATTTTGCTGTTCAATAGTGGAGTTTGCCTTGATTTTAACAAAGGAATTCAACTGAACTTAAAAAGAAATCATAAGTCAAACCGCGAAAAAGTAAATTTGAGCCTGAACAAATTTTGAAGACTTTTCCTGAAATCAAAAACGAGAAAAAAAATCACTCTTAAGGTTACTCTCAAAATATCCTCAATCTCAAATCCCACAAAATGGCGCGCTTGTTGATATTTCTTCGGCCTTTGAAAACGTTCGTCAACAAGTTCTTTGCAAATAACCTCATTTTCTGTTTTATTGAGCTCATTCTGACTGAAGTTTCCGTTGAGGACTCTCGAACCCAGGAGCAAATCATTCAAATGTGTCCTGAACCCCAGCCTGCTGAAATACCAGACTAGATTCCAGTAGATATCAGTTTTTTCATCCACCATATCCTGAGACCTGAATATCTCTGAAGATGCTCCGGTATTGTCGATTAGACGCTCAAGAGCCTTCCTTACAACTAGTGGACTCAAATAATTTACAATAATTGGCCCGACAGTCCTTGGAAGAACCATTGTTGTATGACAAGTATCGTCTGATATTGAAACTTGAGGAGTAGGATAGGAGGAATTCAATTCTTCTGAATTGTTTCGAGGAGATGGTTGCGGTGATCCCGGTCCGTTTTCGTTTCTGTTGTTGCATGTAGTACTATTGAGAGAATGTTCATCTGCATTTGAGCTGCTGACATCGTGGAGACTTGTATGCGAGCCAGTAGCTATAATAAATTGCCTTACGTTATCAACATTGTCAAATTTGAACTCCCTATGTTATTTTGAAACATGGACGTTCTAAGTTGATTATCGATATCAAACAATTGAATTGGATTTTTTAGACGTTGCATTGATTTTTTAGCAAAAAAACTTACGATTCGATTCGACGTTGTAAACAGCGGACACCGATTGCTGACCCGCACCATTAGCATCTTCACCAACAGTTACATTTGGTTGCCTCGCTTCAATCAGAGACTGTTTCTGGATTATACTATCTTTGTTAACCGGTTTCAATTTCCTTTGCAAGTATTCCGGGCAGTATTTGGACAGGGTGTTGATACAGTTCCTGCACCTGCAATGTAGGTATTGGGGCCTGTGGTCTTTGATCATGATAGTCAGTTTAGGCAACTGTGATCTTCCGCACTTGGTAGCAGTAGAGTTAGAAGTGTTGTAGCCGCTCATTCCTTTCACACATGGGCAGCTGGAAAAAAAAACATAGCCAACTAACAGTTGGAAAAGATGGAAACTAAAAAAAAATGATTTATTTTTGAAAAGCCTTCAATTTTTGAATTTCTAAGAAAAAATAGATGGCTTCAAAAATAAAGCTCGTTGAATTTGTAGAACAATTTTTTTAAATGAATTTCACTCAATTTGAAAAAACTGGATTGATAGGTAAAATTTTTATTTCGCTGGGAAATCTGACAATTAGTTTCCTTTTTCGAAATAAAAAACTTATCAAGTTTTTCGTGACCTATATATTTTTGCTGTTCGAAAGTGGAGTTTGCCTTCCTTTTAACTAAAGAAATCGAGTGAGCCAAAAAAAATCATAAGTCAAACCGCGAAAAATCAAAATTGAGCGAGAACAATATTTAAGAATTTTTCCTCAAAAAAAACCACGACCTTTATAAGAGAACTCATTACCTTCATAACTCTTAAAAACGGATCTGTTGACCACTTAAAAGGCCCTCCACTTTATTATTCATTTAAGCTATCCATTTGCGGCTGAACGGCCTACATTTATAACTGTTTTTTTTTCAATATGGGTTAAAACTTTCCATAAAGAACCTAAAAACGTCGTTTCCGGCTCGTTTTTACATAAATTTTCCTGCGGTACAGAATAAATGGTCGAAGCAGGGTCTTCGATGTGTTTTCGCTGAGCTTGGAAAATTTTGTCTATCTAAAAAATTTGAAATTCGCCCTTCTCGACGAGTAAAATTGTGCCGTTTGCGCATAGGGTGTTTGAAATCAAATAATTCTTACTTGATACTGAAATTTGAATCATCGTTATTCCATTGAGACATAATGTCCTCATCGTACATGATCTTCTGACAGGAGGGATTGACACAGGTATACACTGAGCTCATCTCTACAGAAACCAGACTCCTAATTGGTTTCTTCCTGAATCTGCCGTCATACTTCTGTGCACTTATGTTGGGCCTCGAAGTTTCAGTGGGTCGTTGAGGTTGTTGCGTTGGCTGGTTCTTTGGACTTGCTTGCTGCGGGGTCTGAGGTTGCTTTGCTGAGCCAATCCGTTTAGCTAAGTTACTAACATCTGGTTCCAAGCTAGAGTCTATGGACACAACGTACATGACCTCTTGCTTCATCTGCTGAATTCGGTCCATCCACTTTCCGGTCGTTGAGTTATTCTGCAGCACTTTCTGAGTGTAGTTGGCGGCGGAAGTCAAAATATTCTCTCTCGATCCGTTCTTATCGCCTGCCCCAACTCCCAAGCCGAGTCCCCCTAGCACTGGAATGCTACTAGAAATGCTGGTTTGGTCTTCTGATATGGTACTAAAAAGACACGCCGTTATTTCACACAACGCCTTTCAAAAATATCAAATGATCAGCAACACGAAGCTAACTTTATGCCATGTTCCATTGAAAAACATAAGAACTCAATAAATTTATCAGCTGTATTCGCTAACACTTCAACAAATTATTTACGAAGAACTGGAAGCTTTAGAAGCTACCGTTCAGGCAGGTGTACCTAGTTGATCCATGCATCGATGGTTTTGCAGTCTCTCCAAGCGTTGGTGCAGTTAGAGGTGCACTCGCCTTCGCGAATAGGTTTACTGCCCTTTTGTGCAGTGCTGAAATGCTGCGGCTGCCTCCCTCTGATTCGAAACTGCTTCTTGTGCTGCTAGTTCGTGGTAATAGGAAAGGAGTATCTGGCTTGAGCGAGTTTTCGTCTTCGCTGTGTTTATCACTGGTAGTGCATTCCGATATGTTTTCTTTGCTAAAAGAGTAAAATCAACATCCACAATTTCTTATTCTTAGAGAGAATGAGGGCTTTTTAACCATTCCCCCTCCTGTAAATTTTTGCTATGTAATACTTGTGTCCAAGTTGCCCTGCAAGGGCAAGCCGACAACTCGTCCAAACCGACAACTGGTCGAATGCAATAACTGGAAGTATTTAGAAAAAGCGAAGTTTCGCGGAGTGCGACACTTTGTAATAAGCGACATTTCGTAGCAAGGCATTGTCAAGAGGCAAAAACTTGCTTCATTTCTCTTACACTCGGTTCGAGAGAATAGTGCGCGTGAATTAGTGTTGCCACTCAATTTACTGTTAAGAATATCGCCTGGCGCGAGTTGTCGCTTTATTTAAAAAAAACCGAGTTTCCGCTTCTAGCAAGTTTTCCTACAACCTCGAAAAAACCTATGGCTCACCCATAAAACCCAATTTTGTAGGCGCTGGGACGGTAAAAGAGATAGAATGAGATTTAAAAAGTACTTTCCTCGCTATTGATGAAAGCTGTAGCATCGAGTTCTTAAAATTGTCGCCGAAATTATGTGCATTTGCTCCATTCAACCGTTCTGCGATCGAGTTCATACTTGACTCACTTCCTGCAGTCGAACTATTCAGAGGCCTCAACTCCTTACTTTTCCTTTTGCTTCCTTCGTACAAATCTTCATCTACATGTGAAAGCGCTCCTACAGGCTGCGTTGAGTTATTCTCACTGGATGCTCTGTGTTCTAGTGCATTTCCAACCGAAGAGTATTGAGGTCTTCTAGACAAGGTCGACTGCGCGACAATTCGATTAGATGATACTTCATGTTCTGAGGCTAGCGAGAGCTGACTGTTAGTCGCAAATAACTTTCTGTTCACGTTGTGTGCACTTGAGGTGGACATAGTTCGTTTATTGGAGGTCAGTGATGAGAACTGCTCCATATTATCACTGAACAGTGAGTTGTTTCTCCTGTGGTGTGCCATGGAGGGTTTAGAATTTAGAGTCACGTGCTCGTCTAGACGGGACTGAGAAGAAGAGTTAGTTGATATTGTCTCCTCTGGTTTCGATTCGTCTGCATTGTCGTGAAGGTACTGCACATCGACATTGACTGTTTCTTGTTCCGCTGAAAATCATTTAAAACACTTCTGAAAATTGTGAACGTAATTTGATTGACAAATTATCTGACATGGAGTTTACGTGCCAAAAAATATTCACAGCTCTAAACAACCTCTTAATAACGTCATAAAAAACATTTGATTTTTAGTCAAAAGAAACCTAACCGTTTACTGCATCATCCCCATTGTCCTTTTCCTCGTAGTTCTCATCCACTGAATCATTTTTGTTCTCGATTGTTTGCGGTTGCATTAATGAAATTTTTCGTTGCAGAATTATAAACTTCACTGCACAGTAAACTATGCACCACCTCGTTTTTACTTTATTGGCCTTTCTCAACTTTACTGAAGCTTTTTCCAAAACACTTTCAGAGTCAGTTGCCACATCGTTCATTGGCCTGAGAGCGACCATTTTGGCCGCCTTTCTTGCCGACTTGTCTTCCCGCATACTATTCATGTATGAGTAGGTCCCAGCGTTTACTTTAACCCCGTGCTTTTTCAAAATCTTCTGCAGCTAAAACAACAAAAATATCGGTCAGCTAAATTTCATCCGTAATCTTTCTGATCTTGAATTGAACTTTTTAGCGTAATAAAAAATATGCCTCTAGTATTCAATTCTGTTCGAAAATCATCGAAACATGCCAGTCACTAACATAGCCAACACACAAGCAATTGAATTGGCCACAGTCGGTTTGAGCTGGAGCAGGCTTTGAAGCCTAGGGTCGGCATCAGCCGCCCAAACGGCATCAGTGGGTATTTTTTTATTCAGCTATAATCTTATTCCGCTCTGCATCAGTACAAACGTCATCAATGTTTAAAATTTTTTATTCAGCTAAAATTCGTATTCCGGTCTGCATCAGCCCAAACGGTATCAATAGGTAACTTTTGTTACTCAGCTAAAATTCTTATTCCGGTCTGCATCAGCTCAAACGGCATCAAAAGGTAAGTTTGTTTATTCTAAAATTCTTATTCCGGTCTTCATCAGCCCAAACGGCATCAATAGTTAGTTTTTTAATCAGCTTAAAGTCTCATTTCGATCTGCATCAGCCCAAACAACAACTAAAGGTAATTTTTATATTCCGCTTTCTTAATCCGGTCTGCATCAGCCCAAACGGCATCAAAAGGAATTTTTTATTCAGCTAAAATTCTCATTCAGGTCTGCATCAGCCCAAACGGCATGAATAGCAAATTTTTTTTATTACACTAGAATTCTTATTCTGGTCTGTATCAGCCCAAATGGCATCAATAGGTAATTTTCTCATTCAGCTGAAATTCTTATTCCGGTCTGTATCAGCCCAAACGGCATCAAAAGATTATTTTTTATTCCACGTAAGTTCTTATTCCGATCTGCATCAGACCAAACGGCATCAAAAGGTAAGTTTTTTTTATTCCGCTAAAATTCTTATTCCGGTCTGCATCAGCTCAAACCGCATCAATAGTTAACTTTCTATTCAAAATTCTTACTCCGGTATGCATAAGCCCAAACGGCAACTTAAAGAAATTTTTCTATTCCGCTATCTTAATCAAATGGCATCAAAAGATAATTTTTTTATTCCACTTAATTTCTTATTCCGGTCTGTATCAGCCCAAACGGCATCAAAAGATAACTTTCTTATTCCACTAAAATTCTTATTCCGGTCTGCATCAGCCCAAACAGCATCAATAGGTAATTTTCTTATTCCGCTGAAATTCTCATTCGGGTCTGTATCAGCCGAAACGGCATTAATAGGTTATTTTCTTATTCCGCTCAAATTCTTATTCCGGCCTGTATCAGCTCAAACGGCGTCAATAGAAAAAAAATTTATTCCACTAAAGTTCTTATTCCGGTCTGTATCAGCCCAAACGTCATCAAAATAACGTTTTTATTCCACTAAAATTCTTATTCCGGTCTGCATCAGCCCAAACAGCATCAATAGGTAATTTTGTTATTCCGCTGAAATTCTCATTCGGGTCTGTATCAGCCGAAACGGCATCAATAGATTATTTTCTTATTCCGCTCAAATTCCTATTCCGGCCTGTATCAGCTCAAACGGCGTCAATAGAAAAAAAATTTATTCCACTTAAGTTCTTATTCCGGTCTGTATCAGCCCAAACGGCATCAAAAGATAACTTTTTTATTCCACTAAAGTTCTTATTCCGGTCTGCATCAGCCCAAACAGCATCAATTGATAATTTTTTTATTCAACTTAAACTCTCATACCGGTCTGCATCAGCCCAAACGTTAATTTAAAGTAATTTTTATATTCCGATTTCTTATATTCCACTAAAGTTCTTATTCCGGTCTGCATCAGCCCAAATGGCAGCAATGGGTAATTTTTTATTCAGCTTAAACTCTCACACCAGTCTGCATCAGCGCAAACGTTAATTAAAAAAAAATTATATTCCGCTTTCTTAATCCGGTCTGCATCAGCCCAAATGGCATCAATGGGTAATTTGATTAAAACTTAAATTTTTATTCCGGTCTGTATCAGCCCAAACGGCATCAATAAGTTATTTTTTAGTCCGCTTAAACTCTTAATTCTGTCTGCATTACGCCAAACGGCATCAATTGGTAATTTTTTATTCAGCTAAAATTCTTATTCCGGTCTGCATCAGCCCAAACGGCAATAATAGGTAATTTCTTTTATTCCGCTAGAATTCTCATTCCGGTCTGTATCAGCCCAAATGGCATCAATAGGTGATTTTCTCATTCCGGTTAAATTCTTATTCCGGTCTGTGTCAGCCCAAACGGCATCAAGAAGTAATTTTTTCATTCCGCAAAAAGCACCTGAGCACCACTAGAATAAAATACAAATATAACATGGAAATCGGCCGAAAAAAAATGAAAGACACTGAGTCACCAAAAAATATCACTCAAGTTCAATTTGAGGACGCATGTCAAAAAACAGTATGTTCAGCATTAAATTAGCATTGAGAAAAAACTTATTGAGCGACAACTAAGCGAACAATACTTGAGCAGACGCCCGTTGAGCCGGAAAAAAATTTCAAAAAACAATTGGCGATAAAGTTTATTTTAATAAATCTAATGCTTCACGACGCACACAAACTAAAGAAAACCTATTTTTGCCTTATAAAAGACATTTTATTACAAAGCGATATAAAAAGTATATAAAATAACCTACTTTGTATAATAAAGTTCAAACTCTTTCCCGTCATTTGCATTTTTGTTATTTGTGACATCAATTTTCTTTCCGAAAAGCAACTGAGTTTAAAAAAAACTGTCCAGCCGCAAAAACACATTCATCAACATGGGTATGAATAAAAACCACACGACCGAAGAAAAAAATTCATTTAAATTGGTATCACTTTGAACGATCAAAAAAACTTTAAAGCTAAAGTTAAAAAAGAAAATTGCGCACCCCTCAGGAAGGCACATAAACGAATTAAAACCTATTTTTGACATTTAAACGACCTAATATGAGGAAATTAAAGCAATATAACCTAACCTATAACTTTTCAGCCGTAACTGTACAGAAACAGGGTGGCGTCCCGCATGCTTGAGGGACAGCATGCTTAAAATTAATTTTAGCTTACTTTCAACCAATCAGAATTGAGTATTCAAAATCTCAAAGTAAATCGCAAAAATCTCAAAGTAAGAAAATAAATCCTGGCCATTAGTAATAATATTGACCGATTAGATAATAAGCAGATGAGTTTTCAAGACTGAAAACTTCTATGATTTTGAACTCATTAATCTTGATGATTATCTGAATAGTAATGCGGTTTTAACCCGCAATTTGTAATATTTTTGATTATTTTCCACTGATTTAATACATTTTCTGTTAATATTGACTTCGATTTTGTGAGAAAGGCATTTAGCCAATAGAAACGCTTAGCGATTTTGATTGGTTGAAATTTTTCAAGCATTCGGTCCCTCAAGCATTAGAACCCTCCCCCAGAAACAGCCATTGGAGTTAAATTACCATGAAGCACTTAATCTAAAAGATTTCATGAGGAACAAAGTCTATTACAAATGCAAAAACCTCGCTAATAGCTAAGATATATAAATATCTTCTTACAACAAGAATTAAATCCTCTTTTCCCACCATTTGCCATTAAAGAGATCAATTTTCTTTCCGAAAAGCAACTGAATTTTAAAAAAAAGTAGACACAGAGCCGACACTGAGCTGAAATTGAAATCAAACAAACCTTGCAAAAAGCAGCCGAAAAAAATCCTTAAATTAATTACAAGCATAATAAGAAACTTTACAAGATGCTTTCGGGGTGCGTGAACTAAGCAAACACAATAAGCAGACCGGCTATAGTCCAAAACAGTCAAAAATTTAGTTTGCAAAAAAATTTAACTCACGGGCTTTGTCGTCTCAAGCAACGCCAAATGAGCAGGATAGTCCTTGAATTTGGACAAAAGCAAGTAAAAAAAAAACGTGCGAATTCTGGGATCAATGTTATTTACGGGAGAGGGGAGTTAGTACCTGGTTGTAACACCCTTGCTAATCGCAAGAACAAAGAAACTAAACGCAAAAATACAATTATCATACAACCACACAACCGTAACAGGAAAAATATTTTGTTCGGTATCACTTTGAACCAACATGAGAAACGAGTCTTTGGACAAGTAAGATGGCACTTCGACAAAACGTATCTATAAGGTATCTGATTCCTAGATTATAATGATTGCGCGAAAGTAACACAAAAAATGAAAACTAAGATTGCGGAAATTGCAAGTAGCGTGGACGTTGACAAGTAGCAAAAGCTTGCTTCGATGGTCTTGAAATCGTCACGAGGATTATAATGCGCTTGAATCAAAGTTTAACGCGTATTTAATTGCAACCAAATGATTGGCCTTCTTCCGTCTTCCAAAAAAATGGCACACTGGAGAATTTAAACACGTAATTTAACAAACACATCCAACGGACAATTGAAAAAGAGTCAATGAACGCAAAGAAACAAAAAAAAATTACTTGTTTCTTGAAAAAAAAGTCAATTTTCTTTTTTCAAACACAACATTATACGGACTTGATGCTCTTTGAAATTCCAGAATAATTTATGACTGGCATTTCTTTGATAAAACCAACCTAATTTGAGAAAACTGGATTTTTAGTAAAAGTTTTCTTCTGCAGAGAAATCTAAAAATTAAATTCCATTTTCTAAACTAGAAATCGATCACTTTTTTGCCATTTCAGCTCTCATAATTCAAGAGTGCATTTTCCCTACCTTTTAGCAAAAGAACTTGAATCGAGCTCGAAAACAAAAAAGCCGCTATGTAAACAAAACACTAGATCTATCAAAATGAATGAGGCTAGTTTCGAATAAAAATCAAGCCAAGACAATTGAATGAAAAACTAATATCGGAAAAAAGTAACCAAGCAGTAGTAAAGCCAAAAATACCTTAGCACAAACGTAACAAAGCCCAAAATACCTAAGCAGAACCCTTTTAAGCCAACCAAAAATCAACAAGATTTAAAACTTTTAAATAATTATCAAGTCCCGCTCACCCTCAAAACACACAAACTCTAAAATTTGATTCGCTCGTCAAATTAAACATTATAAGGTCACTAATCTGACATAATATAGACCAAAACTTTTTAAGCCCAAAAAAGAAACAGAAAAAAGTCACCCTTAAAAATATGCACAGAACTTTTTTCGAACGTCGAGCGACGCTTTATCAGGCCATAAGCCAATATTAAGTAGGCCAAGGCCTATCAAGCCGAAAAAAATTCAGTTGGTGAAATAACAACCAAAAAAACATAGCCTAGAGAAAGTTGGTATGAGTCAACGAACGCAAGTAAACAGAAAAAAAGAATGTCTTACTTTTTTTTTGAAAAATCTCAATTTTCGTAATTTAAAGAATAAATAGATGCTAGATGCCCTAAAACCTCCTTAAGTTCTAGAAGAATTTATGATTGAAACTTTAATGAATACTTTAACCCGATTTGAGAAAACTGGATCAAAATATAAATTTTTTATTCCTCTAGGAATCAGAAAATTAAATTCCACTTCTGTGACCTTTGAATTTTTTGCTGTTCGATAGTCAGTTTGCCTTCCTTTTAAAAAAGGAAATTATTTGAACTTAAAATTAAATCAAAAATCAAACCGTGAAAAAAAACATTTGAGCCTGAACAAATTTTACCGCAAGGCGACAACTCGCAATAAAAGACAACTCGTGTTAAAAGACAACTCGCAATGGACTCACCGCGGCAGTCGCTCCAACGTGTTGCGAGCTCTTCAAAAGAGGGTAGGAAATAATAAAAAAATTTAGAACCATTTATCCACAATGGCGACCTCAAACCAATCAAATGTTGCTCACCATCATCAATTACTACCTGCCCAGTTTAACCTGAAAACATACATCCCTCAAACCACTCTTTTTTATCACCATCATCCCCAAACTTCCGTAATATCCGTTCCGACAATACTTAGACTTATGGTCCCGGAAGAGAAGTTATCCCACAAAACACAGCAGATGCATCTTTTACCACTTTAACCGAACTTAAAGAACTTTGTTTCACTTCTCAAAAGTAGCAAAACTGAGCTTCGCACCACTTGCAATACAAAAGCCACCGGAATCGATGAAAAAATTGACAAAATGCCAAAAAACAACACCCAAAATTTTGAACTGTTTGCCTCAAAATGAAACTCATTTTGATGAAAACCTGTGGCAGCACACATCACCCACTATTGAATTAGCTAAAAAAAACTTCGAATTGCGCTACAAGATATTGAATGGATGAAAAGACGGAAATCAAAAAAATTTTGAAAAATTAAGTTCAGAAAAAATGGGAAAAACACCAGCTAAAAAATCTTGGATTAAAAAAACATGGTTTTATTGGATAAAATACAAAAAACAGCTTTAAAAAATTGGAAATCGTTTACCGAGCGGCAGCAAAGACAAAAAATTTTGGGTCGAAACCTGTTGAGCCGGAAAAAAAAAACGGTTGTAAAAAAAATTCATAAGTTGAAAGTTTTTACAACCCATCGATGCTGACAACCATATTGCTATGCGAATATATTTTACCCTCGGGACTACGCAATAGGAATTGACTAAGCCGAAATAACATAAACTGATTAAAAATTTTAAACAAATGAAAAAAAAATACGCTGACTGGGAAAAACTGAATGAGTAAAACTTTGAGTCTACAAAACTTCGTAAGTGATGTACACCAATTATTAGTCTACATAATTGCTAAGAGATGCAACCCAATTGAGACGCATTAGCAGTGCCAGTCAATTTAAATAAAAAAGAAATCTACCAACTAACATGCCTCAATTTATAGAGCGGACGAATTTTAACTAGTAACGAAAAAGTTCATTAAAAACATCCGACCCTGCCCAAGTTTGAACCCGCATATTTTGTTGCGGGTCTCCTTCCCTACCTCTACGCTACAGATCCATGATACCTTGAAGCTACAGTGCTGTTTGTAATATAATAGTGTGTTAATAACCTTCGCGTTGGCTGTACTTAATAGCTGGTTATTGATCAAAATGAACACTTTCAAAATGAACACATTCTGTCGCAACAATATTTGAGACTTAGGTTGGAAAAAAAGAGTTCATACTATCATTCAATCGACTCTTAAAAAATTCTTTGATTAGGCCGGCTACTTAAAATGTTGAGCAAAGATTGTCAACTCTGAGTGGTCGGAGCAAAAAAAATAGTAACTAACATTAGAGATGTTTGAAAGGAGTGCGTGTTTGTGGAACACGTGCACCATCACTCTGTAGCACACTTCGTCAGGGGATACAGTCATAAATACTGGCTGTATGTCCTCCATGGACCCCATGTTACCATCCATCACTGGCACTTTCACGAATTTCTGCAACATGTCCACCAGGAGATTCTCCGCATATCGAATCACCACCGCCATTTCACTCTAGAAGCACAAAAAGTTACATCTATGTAGCAAAAACAACTTTCAGACAACAAATAATAAGTTGTCAATTACAATGCCCCGAACTATTTTTTTGCGAGCCTAAGATTATATTTACCCGAAGAGTTGAAATGATACGCGCATTTACAAATAGATTAACTGTTAACGTAACGATTTGTAACCGATGACACAAATTTCTTTGCAGAAAATTTAGATTAACTCATATTTTATGTAACAGTAAAATCAATCTGAGATTTAGCAACATAATTAAGAAAAAAATTACCCAGATTTTTTTTTAGTTGACCCAAATGAATGTCGACAATAAGATCCTCAAGTGATGCGGATGATTCAAAGAGGGGCAGAGGAGAGTAAAATCTGGAGCGCAGCACCATATGCGAAGCTCAACATTCAACTCACCATTCTAAACTCGACAAACGCTGGCAGGAGCATGTACCACATTGTGTAACAGTTCATATGAAGATACGCCACCCACTTTCTAGCCTCCAATGTAGAAATTCCACCTGTCTGTTCAATGTGTGGAGCACTGATCAGATTAGTATCGACTTTCATGGATGCATCGTACAGATCTTTAGCATTGCTCTGTGCAGCTTTTTTCTCTGCAGGTGTTCTCCAGATTCCAGCATCCGAAGCCGCAACATTACCCGCTATGTATCTACTGTGAATTGGCGTGGCCAAAGCACTACTCGCAGTTGCTACACTATTTTGACTCAATTTTCCCGACGCAGAGTCATCTGGATAGACTGTAAACAATGAAGGATCGAGTTTAGGAAACAAACCGTCGTAATCATAAGAAACACTTGGATCTTGAGGCTCAGGTGGCGCTACAAATTTACAATGTTCAACTAGGAGGGTATTGTCGATCTCCAGTAAACGCGCATCCTCTTCTTTTTCGGAGCACTGGTCAAAAAACACGATGTAGTTATTTGTATAGTCATCCATAGATGAAGAATAATTCATCACATGCGATCTCAAGTGAATGAAATGGGCGAACGAATGCGTGTTGCAGAAGTCGTTATAAAACGGTTTGCTTGATTTATGATACTTGAGAAATTCGTTCATGTCAAATAAGTCTGTAAAATTATGGAATCCCGACGATGCATCGGGTGTTCCAATATTGCTGTCATCGATTCCTGGTCTCAAGAAGTTCTGGTATCCCTTCATGATTTGCGTCATGAACTTCAAAAACGCTTCCTGACATTTCAATTCCATGGCGTAGCGTTTGCGTCTTATCGCTGTACTTTCCCCTTGGACACTGAACTCGCAGCCTCGGTTGCCATAGATGTCTGGGTTAGCGTCAATTTCACGGTGACAATCGCTCAAAGCCTTCTTGAGATTTTTAAATGCTTTCTAAATAAATGCGATTTTTTATTCTATTTTATGTGACTTTGACAGTTACAACATTACTTTAAATTTTAACATTAAATTTAATTTACCTTTGGAAGAAGTTTTTCAGCTTTCTGATTCTTCCTTTCTTCAGATCTAATAAATAAAATTAGCGATTCCAATAAAACACGTCTTGAGTATAATGGATTAAATATAAATATTATCCACTTGACTAGAATTACAAAGTAATCTTAGGTACCTTTGAATCTGCACTGTGTTCAAATCCACGAAGCAAATCTGTTTTCTTCCTTCGGGAGACAACAAGTCGTATTGATCCAGGGCATCATAAGTTTGATTGTCAATACCTAAAATATTCCAGATTTCATCCTCTCCGGCTAGAATTTGCAAAAAAGCACACATTCATTACAATCATGAGTAAACTGTGTAAAATGAACAGAAAAAGCGGACTAATTTTATATTTAATTGACAAATTTTCGTGCTACTGGCTTTTTTGTTATTAAAAATGGTAACGTTACTTCTTTTTAGCAAATGAAATTGATACAAGATTGAAAAGATCAGAAGTCAAACCACAAAAGATCAAATTTGGCGTGTATAAACTTTAAGACAAAAAATAAGCGCGACCTATAGAAGTGCCTTCACTGCATTCATTGACACAGAATAAGTTTCGAACATATCAATATTCTACTAGACAATTTTCAGCGAAAAGGTTTGAAGGGCAAAATTTCGCGCCATAACCGAAACCTTCTGTTAATTTGATTGCACCATATGTCCTAGTAGTCTACAAACTCCACTCACAAAACATAGCAAACAGAAGGTTGGAAAAAAGAGTTAAAGAACAATGAAACCGAAAAAAAAGTGACTGGTTATTTTAAAAAAGCTTCAATTTTCGAACTTTTAAAAAAATATATTTATGCCCTTAAAATTCTGAATTTCACAAACAATTTGTAATTGGTGCTCTTTTGATAAAAACTAACCTAATTTGAGAAAAATGGATCAGTAGGTAAAGTTTTTATTTTGCTGAGAAATCTGATAAATGAACTCCATTTTCGAAGTCGATCACGTTTTTCATAACCTTTACATTTTTGGTGTTCAATAGTGGATTTTGCCTTCCTTTTAACAAGGGAAATGAGGTGAACTTGAAAAAAAAACAACCAGTAATATGGTCAAAAGTCAAAATTAACCGTAAACCATTTAAAGATTTTTTCCTGAAAAAAAAACACAATAAAATCACCAAGACCTATATATAAGAGTACTCACTATGTACTCACTCTAAGAAAATTTACCCAATTTAAGAAAACTGGATGAAAATGTGAACTTTTTAATCCTCTGAGAAATCTAAAAACTAAAAACCACTTTCGAAACTCGAATTCATTCGGTTTTTTTTTGCGTAATTTCCGCTTTCGTCATTGGAGAGCGCAATTCACCTAACTTTTAGCCGACGAACTTGAATTGAACTCAATAAGCTTATTTCCAGAAGCGCATTCATCAAGTGCATTGCTTATTTTAAGCAATGAAGAGCTGATCAAATTTGGTTTTCGTTGACATATTTTACCTAAATGCAAAGATATTGAGGGCAAATGACAGATTTGAAGAGCCTGCATGTTTTAAATTGTTTGAATAATAGTTAAAAGCGTCTACGGCGTTTTGACAACCACACTTGGGCTTGTTTCCTGGTTACTGCCGCATGGGCTCAATTAGGTGTCGTTTAGCCCCCGTCTAGTGACCGCTAAGCCCCCAATCAGTTCTACTGATGTTAAAGAGGGCGCAAGGGGTGGTACACAGTTAATAGAAGCAGTAACCATAAAGTGAACAAGTTCAAGTTTTGTTTTGAAACCGAATATGGGCGCCAACGACTAGCGAGTTTCAGAAATTTTGGGGGATGAATTTTAACTTTTATCTTATTTGAATTGGTTTTATACCGGCTACGATTGAACAATCTTTTTAAATATTGATGCAGAGCTAGCACCTTATGTCAATAACCTGTCTAGATAATGCCATTAATCTGCTGCATTATGTTTATTCAAACTAACAATTTGTTTTCTTATGTTTTTTGAACTATTTTTTTTTTTCACTTTCACTTAAGATCACAAATTTTGTATTTCATTGTTAAAACAGGCAGTTCTTTTCAGGGTTCATTAAAAGTCACCTCACTGTTTCTGGTGCTTTATGTTAAGTTTCTTATATATGCATATCTACCATTAACAATGAAAAAAATTCTTCTTATAAATGCAATATAAATGCAATAATATGTATGATGCACTTCTGTAGTTATTACAGCATTTTAAGACATTTCCTGGAAAAAAACTCATCAAGACCTATATAAGTGAAAATTAATTCGCTCTTTTAAACTTCATTAATAGTGGTAACTGCTAAAATTTACCTGGTAAATGTAAATAAACTTTGGAGCAACAACTGTTCCGTTTAGCCATTTTTGATCTTCACACAAAATTTAATTTCAACTATTGACTTCAACAATGGAAATTATATTACAAATGAAGAAAGTGCTGCGGGCTAAAGAAGTTAGTATATTTAAACTCAAAATAACCTTATAACTACGAAAAACTTGTGGTCGCTTTCAGAAAGAGAATTTATTTGATGTATTACACAACATCATCAACATCGAGTTTAAAAGGTCAAAAAAGTACCTATGAGGGCACATCCGGGACACTCTGCCGACATGACCATTTCACGCGCACATCTCGGAATGTAAGTGCCAGTCCACTTGAGGGGAAACATGGCAGCACAAAGTGTCTCCATGACAGTTGTGAGAATTGAGGGACGCAGACAGTGGAACACAATTCTTGCCTCCAGCAGAACAAGAGTGAATAGTTCAATCGCATTCTCCCAGCCGATGTTACGAAGCAGCGTTATGAATGAGCAGCCCCTAAAATACAAATTATACAAACTAAAAATAAGAAAACTCTTCGGCTTTCTCAGTGTCCCACATCCACCTCCGATTAGAAATGAAAATTTTGTCTCGCTTCGCACACATAAATCCCCAACATAAGCTGAAAAATATTTTATATGTCAAAAGCCAATAATATATCAGACTACTGGAGGATGGCTACTGCCTGCTTACTTCTGAGGTAGAGAAGAACACGGGGATGGCCACGTCAGTTCAATCTTTCGGTGTCCAAAGTCGGCAATTATCAATGGTTTGTCCAGACTAGGACTGGGCACATCATACATGAAGAACGAAATCAGTCTTTCTACCGGTACCGGACCTCGGTCTCCAGGAGTGGAACAGAACCCGTATATAAACATCAGAAACTCCTTGATTGCTTGGAAGAAGGGCTTCCTCGATAGCAAACAAATGCACTTTTCACACTGAAGCAGCATCATTCTCACGTTAATATCATCTAAGTTTCGATTTCGGAGACTGTTTTTCGTCTGATCATCATTGTCCAGTTTACTGGGAGATCCCAAATCTTTCAGAGCTGTTAGTTGCTCATATGTCAGTTTCGATACATTTTTGAATTCTTCGTAAAACGTTAGAGCCGCACCGTACATCTAAATATGCGAACAATGATGGGATGTGAACAAATTAGAACAAAATAATAAAAACCAGAAAAACTTACCGTTACTCCTAACTGATTTGTCAGTAAAAATGTTGAGAAACTAGGTACTGCAACATTCCTGGTTCCGAAAGGTTCCCAATACTGAATACTTGCTCCGTTTGGCATAGCAATGTTAGCACAGTCGCGTTCTATTGGCGACAACTCAAAATTCCTCGCATCTATCAACGGGAACCTGCTAATTACTGTCGGCGCGTAGACCAAACTTGGAGGTTGGATCACTGATTTCTTGTAGCAAAGGTACACTTCAGCCGCGGTCAGAGACCCCTTATTTATATTCTTGCTCACAACGTAGAACGAGTGCGGAACAGCATCACCCTTCTTAGGAAAGATAACTGCGATGTCTGTGATTGCCAACATTGGCATCTCGTCTGTCGATTTCCATCGTCGGCAAGTTATGTAGGTCCTCTGGCCTCCCACGGCCGATTTGACGTTCACGTAGCCTGGTCTTCCATAGTAAGACTGGTAGATTTGCTCACAATCCTTCCGCAGTTCTTCCCTGCCTTCGTACAAAACACTAGAATCAACAAAAATTTTATTAAATTTAACCTCATAGCAGCTAATAAAATAAAAAACTCGAATATTTAGACACGAATGAAGTTGTGGAAAAACGGTTGATTTTCAAAAGAGTTGTTAAAGTATTTCTGAGAAGTGACTGTAAAAAAAGTTGCTTACTGGAAAAAAAACCTTTCCCCGATAATGCACTTGATCTGGCAAGTGTAATTATGGGTCCATTGACCATAGCTGTTATCGTATTCGTTACATTGCCTCGACAACGAAGGAGAAGCACATTCGGCTTTCTGGCAAAATGGCAAAGCAGAGCTTTGCACCATTTCCGATACCGCGCAAACGTAGCTTGGCAAGCCAACAAAAAAGTGCAAAAGTTCCCAAGAAAATTTCATACGTTAATCTTGATTTGTGTCGACTGAAGTTCATTTTGAAGAACTTATTTCAGGAAAAACAAATTACGGCTAATAAAAGCATTGAAAAGAAATATACGAGGCGGTTAAAAACGTATTACACTAGGCAGATACAAAAAATATTTCCTTATAAATTTGCCTGTTAAACGTTCAAGACTTGAAATTTGAATTACTTTACCAGCTACATATACAACGCCAAAAGCAATATATTATGCCTGGAGGGAGATCCTAAAGAGCAGTACTGCTCATAGAGTAGGATATCCTGGAGAGTAAAGAGAACACAGCCAGCATCAACTCAACAAACAAAATAAATTAAGGGCTGAAATTAAAAAACAGTTTATAGAGGTCTTGATTGTCTTTTAGGTAAATTTGAAAAAACTGTTTATAGAGTATCAAACAACTCTTTTCTGATATTTCATGTATATTAACAGGTATCAAGTCATTTTGCTTTAAATAGTTAAAAGCCTGCACAATTATAACTATAAGCGATCTCTGTTTAGCGGTAGTAGAAAATTTTGCCACTTTAGTTAAGCCTTTCGCTTTGCTCCTGGTACATGATCCACTTTTTTGGGAGTATATCTGAGACAGAAAACCATTTTTTCTGTCCGATCGCAATTCCATAAACAAGTACTTAAACATCTCAAAAAAGTATAAATCAAAAACAGTAAGCAATTTGTTTTCGTCCATAATTTCTTTAATTGATTCATATCTACGTTTTAAAAAAATTGCTCTCAAGATTCTTTTTTGTAGTTTCATTATCTCGGTAAGGTGAGATTGGGATGTATTGCCGTATATTAAAAATCCATAAGTAATTGTAGGATTTACATATGCTTTGTAGAAAAAACATACCTAGCTTTCCAGACAATGCCACAAAATTTAGTTAACTTTTTGCACACATGTTCAATGTGAAATTTGAAAGAAAGTTTCTTATCAACAAAAATGCCTAAATATTTACACACATTTGTAATTTGAACTGTAGTACCAAAAGCAAAGTAATTTTTTGAAAAGTTTTTACCAAATTTCATTATTTGAGTTTTACCAGGATTGACACAAAGTCCATTCGTTTTGAACCATCTATCCACTTTATTTAAAGAACTATCAACGCTATCGCAACAATTTTTTTCTGCATTGCATATTGTAGTATCATCAGCAATCGAACAACCTCAGATCCTTCAGCAATTTTCGGAAGATCATTTATATATATTAAAAACAAAAACGGACCTAAAACTGACCCTTGTGGTACTCCACATGACATAGAGCGACTAAAAGATATTTTATTATCAGTTTGAACAAATTGAAACCGGTTTGCAAAGAAATTTTTCAGAAGACAAAAAATCCGGCCTCTTAAGCCGTATTTTTCCAATTTTGCCAAAAGAAGATCATGATTTATTGTATCAAATGCTTTTTTGAGATCAACATGGCATGATTGACCAACCAATTTTTTGTTCCATTCCTCTCTAATAAATTCGGTGAATTCGATTAATGCGTCCACGCATGACTTTTTCTTTTGAAATCCAAATTGTTTTTCATAAAGAATCTTCTGCTTGTTAGCAAAGTTATACATTCTATTGAATATTATCCTTTCGAAAATTTTGGCGAGTGAACTGAGTAAACTAATATGTCTATAATTTTCCAAAGATTCTTTTAAACCTCCCTTGAAAAGGGGAATAAGTTTTGCAACTTTTAAGCCTTGAGGAAAATAACCACTCTCAACACATTGGTTGAAAAAGCTGCAAATTCTTACAGAAAATACAGGGAGCGATAATTTTATAATTTTGTTATTTATGCCATCATGACCATTTGAACCTTTATTTTTCATTATATAAATGGCATTTTCAATTTCCTTGTGGGTAATTTCATAAAAAACCATTAATTTTTCGATGCGATCTACATACCCAACGCTTGTTTGTAATCAAATTCAGGATTTCTCAGTTTCTCACCAATTGAGGCAAAAAAATCATTAAAAATATCAGCAGCAGCAAAAAAACTCGTGTTTTTGGAGTTTCCTTTGCAAAATTCATTAAAGGCCTGGAACAGCGCTTTCGAATTTCTACCATTTCCAACTTTTTTGTCGTAATAAACTCTTTTTTCATTTCTTATTACCTTGGTTGCTAAATTTCTAGCTTGAGAATATTTCAGTTTATTCAATTCAGTAGGATTTTGTACCCACTTACTGAAAAGCCGATCGCGGTTTTTGAGGATCTTTTTGGTTGAATCGGTAACCAATGACTGTTTTTGTGATTTCGGTTTCTCTAAGGGAGCAAAACGATCAACTGATGAAACTATGGATTCAACTAACAGACATAATTTCTCATTGGGCTCACTAAGGTTATAAAATTTTGACAATTTGTTTTCTAAGAGTAACAAATATTTATAAATATTATCGTCACGGTAAAGATTTTTACGATTTCTATAGCAGTAATCTTGCTTTTCTTGCGGACCAACATTCACGTAACCTGATATAATTACGGAAAAATGATCAGAAATAGTTGAATCCAGTGTTTTTACATTGGCGTCGAAATTAGCAATTAAATGATCAATACATTTACTCGATTTTGGAGCAATGCGAGTTGGATCTCTATCCAAAATATGAGCACCACAGCTTTTAATTAGATTAATATAAGATTTGGAAATTGGCTTGCAATCTAAAGTGTCGATATCAAAATCTCCACAAACAAGAAAATTAGTTTTCAAAGCATTTAAGTACAGAAAGTAATTCTCAAAGTGATTCAAAAAAACCTCATTTTTGCTCTGTGGGGGTTTATAGACAACGGAAATATTAGTCTTGACTGATTTATACACGATAGATATGTTGATGCATTCGAAATTAACCTCTACACTGTTTAACTGAAAATTCACATCGTCGCGCACATAAAACGCACATCCCCCACCTCGTTGATATTTCCGGTGTTTAGAAATTAAGGGATGGTAGCCATCAAGATGATAGAGATTCAGATAATCATTATCACACAGCCAGGTTTCGCATAGCCCAATAATCAAAGGTTTTTGTTCTAACTGATTAATATCTATAACGAGTTGGCAATGATGGCATCTGAGGGAGCTTATATTTGAAAAATGCAAAAAACTGTCTTTTAAGTCGCCCATATGACTTTCTTCTACATTTCTCTCCATTTCAAAAAAAAATAAGACTTCAGTCAAGTTGATTGAAATTATTTGTTAGCTTCTTCTGTTACTGCTTTTTTTCTATATTGAGCGCTTCTGATTCATTTTCAATATTTAATTTCTTCGAGGCCTGATTATCAACATTCAATATTTCTGGCGATAAATTCCTCTCTGACCATCTCGAAATACCAGGAGTTGAATTGGTATTTAGTTGAGCACCAGTATGGCGCCCAGTAATGAAGATTTTTTGAACTGCTTGAGGATAGTTGTGGTCTTGGCCGGTTTTGACTGATCTGTTTTTTGGCTGCAATTTTAGCTAGTTGTTCCACGCCAGCAAGACTATTTACACTTTGGGAATAAAATGAGCCATTTGGTCGTTGGCAAAAAACTTTCACTTGGCAGTTGAGTCGTAATAAGATTCATGTTATCGCATTTCCTTTTAATTTCCATATCTGATTTCGGCAACCGTTCATTTATGAATAAACTTTTTCCCTGAACGCCCTTCTGCCCAGATAACATACGCCTCCTTCCGAAAATCTCATCTTTGTCCGAAAAATAGACAAATTTCAAAATGATTGGAACATTCTTACCAGAATCCTTGCGCGTCGGAAGAGGATGACATGCCTTGACAGCTCCCGGTGATAATACATAGCCACCAAAGTAATGGTAAACTAGGTTGCACATGTCAGAAATCAGGTTGGGGGAGTATGGGTTGATATCAAAATTTGAAAAAATTAAGCAATCTTTGCTCGAATATCTTTCCTGAAAATTTACTCGCTTTTCGAGATCAAAAACATTGTTTTTAAGTCAATTATTTCCTGGGTTCTTTCATTTAATACATTTTCAAGAGAATCAACTCTTACCAAAAGGCTAGTGATAAAAGGAATCATTAATTTAGGGTCAATAATGGAATCTGGGGGAAGATTTTTCAACAAATCAACGTAATTTTTTGGATTATTTTCGGCCATTTTGATGGTGAAGGTCAAATGTTTCAAGCAATAAATCCGAATCAAAAAGCGCAACAATAAGAGCAACTAATCTCTAGCATTCATTTCTCTGACTTGTAAAATATAGTCTTGGTTT